TGAGGATTAGGATGATAATTAAGGATGAGAACAATTCCAACAGTGTTACATATAACACACTTGCATCAAAAGAAAATAATTATGCATGCATACACGATTCCTTTCCCTGATCAATAAAATGTCAACCTAAATCTTCATTTCATACTGATAAAAGTAACAAGTGTATGTAAATCATACCTTATCAGCTTCAGATTTTTCTCACTTTTCTATAGCAGAAAGCAAGAAAGTTGAGAAGGTAAAAGTATAACATTCTGGATACACCTCACTACTTTCATCAGAGTCCTCCAATCACAGCTGTTAGATAATAGTACTTATAATATTTAAAACGAATATAGTAGAAAAGGAACTACAAGTCACTACTCTCAACCCGGGAGAAGATCAAGACTAAAATTCAAATCTTACAGAGTATTTGATACACAGACGCTTACACTGAAGCCAGCAATAACTCTAATAACAGCTTCAAGAACATAAAACAAACAAGGGATTGCAACCGGGAGTCACCTCAAACCCCTCCATAATCAGATTTCCTAGTCTATAGCAAATATAGAATGCTAAATAAAGAACATATGACACATTCTTAAGAACATACTTTAGTTACAGAATAATCTTTTTTTATGTTCTAAATTTTTTTTTTGCCTACTCCTATGTTCTAAATTTAGTCTACTTATGTTCTAATTTTTTTTTCCCTATGTTCTAAATTTAGTCTACTTATGTTCTAAAGTTTTTTTTTTTTCTATGTGCTAAATTTTTTCTACCTAAGTTCTAAAGTTTTTTTTTCCTATGTTCTAAATATTCTTTTACCTATGTTCTAAATTCTTTTGCTTATGTTCTAAATTCAGTCTACTTATGTTTTAAAGTTTTTTTTTTTCCTATGTTCTAAATTTTTACTACTTATGTTCTAAAGTTTTTTTTTTTATGTTCTAAATATTCTTTTACCTATGTTCTAAATTTTTTTTCCTATATTCTAAATTTAGTCTACTTATGTTCTCAAGTATTTTTTTTCCTATGTTTTAAATTTTTTCAACCTATGTTCTATTTTTTTCCTATATTCTAAATTTTTTCTACTTATATTCTAAAGTTTTTTTTTCCTATGTTCTAAATATTCTTTTACCTATGTTCGAAAAAAAAAAATTTCCTATGTTCTAAATTTAGTCTACTTATGTTCTAAAGTTTTTTTTTTCCTATTTTCTAAATTTTTTCTACCTATGTTCTAAAGTTTTTTTCCTATGTTCTAAATATTCTTTTACCTATGTTCTAAATTTTTTTTCTTTTGCCTATATCCTAAAATTTTTCCTATGTTCTAAATATGTGCTTTAAATTTATTCCTATGATCTAAATTTATCTTATGTTCTAAACCTGTGCTCTAAATATTTTTTTATGTTCTCCCCTGCTGCTCAGCCACTTAACCTTCACCACTCCCTCTCTTATCCTACACCGCATCTCCAATCCACACCCCTCATTCACAGCCACCCTAATTCCGCCTACCCCGTGTTGCTCCCTCACGCAAACCCCTCCACCTCTGCCAACATCACCAACCTTCTCATTCCTCTACCACCAATCATAGCTAACAACCACCACCAAATTCACATCACCATAGCAGCCGCAAAACAACAGTAGTACCCACACAACAACGACACCACAACAACAACAAAAAAATGCACATAAATCGCACAAAAATCAAACCATAAAATCCGAACAGATCGAAAATAAAAAAAAACGAAGAAATCTAAAAAATATTATCCTGTTGAAATCGAACGCAAATCGAATAGAAAATCGCCAAGAAATCGCAAAAATATTGACGAAATCAGTGAAATCTAAGGTTTACATATGCGAAAATCAACTGAAATCGAACAATGTATAGACGAAAAATAATAAATCTAAACATTATATAGACGAAAACAATGATTTCTAACGAAATTGAAGGAATATGTACCTGAAATGGAAAATTGCGAAATCTAGGGTTTTATCGCAAAAATTTGTACTTTTCTTGAAAATTTGACTTGTTTATGATCCTTTTTGTTGAATTTATGTAAAAAAAATGAAGGAAAAATGTTGAAAATCCTTCAAATTGCAGCTTCTATGGAGATTTTTGGGAGTTTGAGGAGAGAGAAAGTCATGAACTATATGGAAACGATAATCGAAGAGAGAGAAAGTTAGGGTTGCGTTTCTTTTTTTTTTTTTAGGAAAGATGGTTTTTATTTTGTTTAATCCTGACCGCTCATCCCAATCTAATCCTACGGCTGAGATTGGTTCTTATATAACTAGGTTCTTATATAAGGAGAGGTTCTTACCGGATCCCTCCCCTATATATATATATATATATATATATATATATATATATATATATATATAAATAAATAAAAAAAAATAAAAAAATAAAAACAAAACAGGAAACTATAAATTGAGTGATAAGGCAGGGGAAACATATAACATGCATGTTCATCCGGATATTGTCTTAAATTAAATTAACACTGAATCGTGGGGTCTCGATTTTATCAACTCCCCATTTGTTATTATTACTGGGATCTGTTACACTTACATTACATACTCTCTTCTATATATATATATAATGTACTACTCCTACCAACTACAGTATTAATTTGATGCTGCTAAATTTCCTTTGGAAAAAGTTAAATGAAATAAAATAAATACTTCTTGCTATTTTAATTCTTGGTATTACTCTAAATAATGTCACTAACTAGTCAATTGTTTAATTGAGCTTCAACTTTAATTTAAGTTTAATTGAAGTCATAAACATTATAGAACTATGCAACGTATGTAGTAAATTTTCAATTTCGAGTTTTATTGAATTAACGGTAACAACGGACCACAAATAGTCAAATATATATACTCGTATTTTTTTAATTAATTGTTTAATTGAGCTTCAACTTTAATTTAAGTTTAATTGAAGTCATAAACATTATACAACTATGCAACGTATGTAGTAAATTTTCAATTTCGAGTTTTATTGAATTAACAGTAACAACGGACCACAAATAGTCAAATATATATACTCGTATTTTTTTAATAATGCTACATAATCCTAAAACTTTTTAAAGATTAAAAGGAAACATAACGATATGCATTTTTTATAAGAAGATTTTTTTCTTCATTGTTCGTTTACATAGAGAGACATCATAAAGAACGACAACGCGACGTAGACAAAATCCTATCTAGGTATTATTACTCCTACGATTTTTATACGACATTTTGTGCCTTATTTTTCTCGTCGTCCTCTCCATTGAAACCTTGCACGGTAGTCATGGATTACTATATAATTGAAAGTTTATTTTTGAAAGTAAAGCAAAATTGATAGAGTATAAAACATAGTATCAACCATTAGCTTAACATGGTATCAAGAGCCAACATGACACAAAGGTCACGAGTGCGAATCTCATTTACCCTTCCTTTCAAAGTGGAATATTAAACGTTGGTTATGGTGGGGCCCATGCTACATCCACACTTCAAACCCAAATGAGCTCTCATGTGAGCGGGCGTAATAGAGTATTTAATCCGATCCTGAGCTTTAACCATCAACTTAAGCTTTTGGTTGAGTTGGTCCTCTAACATGGTATCAAAGTCAGCGTGACACAAAGGTCACGAGTTCGAATCTCATCCACCCTTCCTTTCAAAGTGGAATATTAAACGCTGGGTATGGTTGAGTCCCAGGAATATGTTTTATACTCTATCATGACAGAGTATAAAACATATTCCTGGGCCCCAACTATTAGCTTAAGCTTTTGTTTGAGATGGTCCATTAACATGGTATCAAGAGTAAACGTGACATAAAGGTCACAGGCTCGAATCTCATCCACCCTCCACCTTTAAGTGGAATGGGCTCTCGTGTGAGGGGGCGTGATAGAGTATAAAACAAATGAATAAGTAGAGTAGAGCAATCATGAAGAAGTGGGAAATGTCAAATATGAATATGAAGATTAAAAATAAATGATTTAAAGGTGGTTAAATGAGTGCCCTTGTATGATAATGATGCAACATGATAGTATGTTGGTCCTTGAAGATCGGCTATCACCTTCATCCCATCTCGAAGTCATTTTTGAGACTGCCCTATTTTACTTTCCTTTCCTTTTTTTTTTTTTTTTTTTAATTCCGTATGAAATATCTTTCTTGTCTATACATATATGGATATACCTACTATTTTAAAATGTACAAAATTGTTTTGTTTACTACATGTGTTTAATTTCTAGATGTTCTTAACACATTTTTTAATATTCACATTTGCTAATGTATATACCTTACGTTATTATACAATCGACAATTAAAATGAAATTTGTGAATGATATCAAAGGTTAAAGGAGTTAAAACTTTAGAAACAATTGTTGTATACACTTATGTGTAGTAAAATAGTCATAATTTGTGGCTCATTTTAAAATTGTACCCTTTCTAGATAAAGTGATGGCAACACTCCTAAATCATAATCATCTAACCACGTATATCAAATAATAATAATGTACATTCATTACACTAAAAAGTAGATGATACAATATCATGTTAATCCAATGTTTCTAATCAAACCTTACCTTAACATACAAAATCGATCATATATAATAAAGTAAATCAAAAGATATGACATAAATCAATCGAATTCCTATAATTGAAAGAAAAAAAAGTCTTGGTACTTCCTATAAATCCATAATAAAATCAAATTGAACAACTCAAAAGTCTAGATATCATCTATAATCAAATTAAAATTGTAAAAGGAACATAAAAACAAAGGAAAAGGAGGTGTGTTTGTTGTATGTACTATGTTCATTTCCAAACTTAAATAAATAGGGTCCCATCCTCTGCATGTTTTCACGTGTCTTGCTATCTCTTGCCGTTAATACACCATCATCACCATCACCCTTCTTCATTGGATTCTCACACCCAAAAAAAAAATTAAAAATTAAAAAATAAATAAATAAATAATAATTAAAAAAAAATTAAATGTTTTTTTTTTTAAAAAAAAAAAAATATCATTTTGTTAAAATACAAACCACACCCACATAGCCCTACAAGTGTAGGGCACTTCCAAATCAAATCCCATCTTTTCTTGTCATTTTCTAACATTTTCTAAGGAAGTGCCCTTCACTTACCTTAAAGTGCCTCATAAATTTAGGGCACAGGTAGATGACAAAAACCCTTGATGAATTAAGGGGGCCCCTTTATAAGAGCAAGATGAAGGTCCCCTATTTTTTTGGTATTTTGTTTAAGCCATTGTAAAATTTTAAAATCAAGTGGTAAAGTTTTTTGGGTTTTTCTTAGAGAATCTATCTCACCCACCAAAAAAAAAAAAAAAAAAAAAAAAGAGTATGCACAAAAGATGTTTGATGGAATGCCCGAACAGTTCTACCAATTTTTAGCTGCTGCTGCTACTACAACATCAATACCAACATCTTCTTCTAATATTCTTACTAATAATACTAATACTGCGGCTGCGGCTGCAGCTGCAGCCGCGCTTTCTATTCCTTTATCATTCTCTCTTCACCACCACCAACACCAACACCGTCATGCGGCTGGTTTTCCTACTTATTCACAACAACCACCACCACCACCTCCGCCGGCTCCTCAACCGACATTCAATGCTCCTTATGGTCACCTTCTACATCATCACCACCATCATCATTCGCAGTTTCTTACAAGGAATGATGTTGTTAAAGATGAAACACTCCAACTTGACCCTACTAGGTTACAAGATGGCGGCGAAACGCAACGATCTTCATCATCATCATCCTTGATGTTATTGCCTGAAATTCCATGGTCTAATGATGAAATGCTTGCTCTCTTCAGAATCAGATCTAGTATGGATAATACTTGGTTTCCTGACTTCATCTGGGAAAATGTCTCAAGGTATGTCATACATATTATATAATAAGTAACATAACACAGTAGTATTTATAATCATCTCAACGGATAATAATAAGGTTGCGTACATCTGATCTTCCCTTACTTCGAGCCAGCACTTCATTGCGCCGGCTCAAAAGGGTTGACATAGTTTGATTAATAGATGATTATTTTTGTAATGATATGAATTTTTTTTTTTTATTGGACCCATGTTAAAATAGATTAATAGGGTAGTTTATTTGATATTATTGTTGATGAGATTCTAGCAAAATACGTTACACATGCCTAATTTCGTCATATTTTCTTTCTTTCTGTCTATCTGTAACATTATTTACAGCACCATATATTATTTCTGGTCCCTTTCAGTATTTAAATGATGAAATTGATACTCCATTTATATAATAGCTGTCAAAAAAAAAAAAAAAAAAAAAAAAGTACATACATTATTTTTAATCCTTTGATGTTGTTTTTTTGTGTATTTATGATGGGAGCAGAAAGTTAGCAGAGATTGGATTCAAAAGAAGTGCTGAGAAATGCAAAGAGAAATTTGAGGAAGAAACTAGAAGTTTCAACAGCAGCATTATTTCTAATAATACTTGCAGCAATAAGAATAATAATAATAATAATAATAATAATAATAATAATAATAATAATAATAATAATAATAATATTCCGAGCAACAACAATAACAACAACAATTATAGGCTCTTTGGTGAGCTAGAAGAGCTTTGTAACAATAATAACACTAACAACATCAATGTTGATCATGACGACGGCGGTGATGATCATCAGAAAGGTTCTCTTCCTGATCAATGTGAACGTGATCATACCCTTGAGACTTGTTTGTCTCAAGGGGATGTTTGTGTTGATGGTGAGAAGGAGGATGAAGAGGATGACGACGAAAGGCCGGAGATTGAAGATGGTATAATGTTAGAAGGTGATGATGATGATGATGATACAAGAAAGGATAATGACAAGAGCAATGATAATGATGATGTGGTGGAAGATGAGCAGCAGTCTGTAGACGACAGCGAGAAAACGGAGGAAAGTACAAAGAGGGTGATGAAGAAGAGGAAAAGACAGAAGAAATTTGAAATATTTAAAGGGTTTTGTGAGAAGATTGTGAGTAAGATGATGGCTCAACAAGAGGAGCTTCATTGCAAGATTATTCGCGATATGGTTAAGAGAGATGAGGAGAAGATTTCTAAGGAAGAAGCTTGGAAAAAGCAAGAGTTTGAGAGATTAGAGAAGGAGTTAGAGGCTAGGGCACACGAGCAGGCGGTTTCCGGTGACCGGCAAACCAAGATCCTTGGCTTCTTGAAGAAGTTTAGTACTTCATCATCAAATTTTTTGGATAGTCAATCTTTTAAAGAGGCACTTGAGAAGCTTAATAAGGTACCGAAAATGACTTCTTCTAATTCCTCAATTTTAACTCAAGACTCTATTAGTGTACAATTACAACCCACTTCATCTTGTACAACCCATAATCCTTTGGTGAATAACATACCTAGTTCTTCATCAAATGAGAATCTTGCTCTAGACAACTCAAAATCGACACTACCCTTGAAACCATCCTCTTTGGATCATCAAAACCCTAATCCTCTTCCTAGTCATCAGAACGAGTCTTTGAAAATCCCTTCTTTAGTTTCATCTCGCAAATTCTCCAGGTCTGATCATCCCAGCACTAATGCAGCGGACCATATTACAAACATTAAGGCCTTGGAAAACAACAAGAGCGGTGGTCTAAAATCCGTTGTTGGGAATAATGGTAATAAGGATGACACCGGTAGAAGATGGCCAAGAGATGAAGTGCTAGCATTGATCAACATAAGGTGCAGCCTTTTTAACAACAATGGCGGTGACACTCACCATGATACAGAAACCTACTCTAAGGGTCCTCTATGGGAAAGGATTTCGCAAAAGATGACCGAGTTAGGGTACAAAAGAAGTGCTAAGAGATGCAAAGAAAAATGGGAGAACATAAACAAGTACTTCAGGAAAACTAAGGACTTGAACAAGAAAAGATCCGTTGACTCTAGAACTTGTCCTTATTACCACCAGCTTAGTCATTTATACAGTCAAGGATCACTAGTGGGCCCCACGGATCGACCAACAAACCACCCCGGCTCACCGGAAAATCGGTCCATGGCAATGTCAGGGCAGTCTCAAGGTAATGGGTCAAGTACTCCTCCAGCAAATAATGGTGCAACTAATACTATGCAAGGTAATGAGGCCAATGTGGTCCAAGTACCAGGGTTTGATTTTGAATTTTGATATTTGATATTTGAAATAGCAGTTTAAATTTGTATGTGTGTGCTAGCTGCTATATAATTTTGTACCTTATGTTATATGGTGAACATTTACTAGCTATATAGATATGGCTAGCTGGCTATATGGTAGTAGTAAGATTTAATTAAATTTGGTGTCATTTTTGTTCATTTCCTATATATGCCCACCATAATAAGTGTTGATGTAATATGGAGTACAAAAATGATTTAGGAATCAATAAACCATGCTCTTAAATTAAACAGCTAATCCCTCCAACTAGCTAGTAAAGATGATCCACTAATTCGTTTTTATGGCGGCTCGAGAGAGAAATTTTTATTATTCCTAATCCACACATAATTACTAAAGCATTTAACAAAAAATAGTGTCGTTCTACAGATGTCAAATAGCTTAATTATTAGATGGTATGTTAAAGTTTGGGTGATAACCAAGAGCTGAATCAAATATCGTCTACATCTATCATTTCCCCTTTGTACCTCTTTTGAGACTTATAAAAATAAATTGTCTCCGTTTTCTACATGTACCTGAAAAAAAGGGTTGCAATGGCTGGAGCACTAGAAGAGAGTTGTAGTACTAATTAAAGCTTGATTAGTAGTGAAGATGGGTTTAGGATTAAGATTAGGATTATTCGAGACACAATCATGTCATTCTACTTTAGAAGTATATTGTATGATTTATGATGTGAAATGAAGTCAACTTGAATAATTATATTTTATTAAAGATATGTTGAGTTTCTCAAATTGGTCGGAGAAATTAAGAATGTGGGGTAAAGCAGAAGCAGCATCTGCATGTGTGGGTGTGACTACTAGCCTAACTTCATTCAGAAGCAACGGGGTCACTTGATCAGGTCACTACAGTCTTCCTCTTTCAATTCATGTTTTTCTCTCAAACTATGCTGAAGATGGTTGATATGATCAGAAAATTTATAATGGAGCTGGAATCCCTAAGTTCGAAATGAAATTTTGAAATATATTTTTTCTACATTACTGTCTTCTGTGTAGGTTACTATGAAAACCCTAAGTACTTCGTATATGATAAATATAAATCAAAATAGTAAACTTCATAACCTAGCTACTTTTGTTCATAGTATCAAATGAATGCTTGCCTTAGCAATTTGCTATAGAGGGCAATCAAGAATAGATTAATGTCCATTTGAGACTATTATTTTGTCCTCTTACTACTTTTGTGCTTCAATTCTACACAGTTTGGTGTTGATGAATTTTTAACAATGATTCTTTTAAACTAAATCTATCATTTAAAAATAAATTCTTGTAAATTGAACTAAGTCAATAAAAAGAATAATATACTTCGTACGAAGTACTAAAATTAAATAACTTGATCACTCGAGATCTGGGTTCGAGGCTTCTTAGGTCTTATTAAAGCTCTCCAACGGATGCATAATGCATAGCACCCTAAATAATTGACACTCTCGGATCCTAACTCTTTCAAAATAGGAGTAAAGGACCTCAAACGGGACCATCAAACAAGGTACCGTAAGAATAAAGGCGATAGATCGATAGAGTGCCATAGAATTCCAATTCACATTCAAAATGGAAGAGAGAATAGTAAATGGAGAGAGGGATTGGAGTCCTTTCTATATAGCTTAGGAGTATGTCCTACAATAATGTCCTCTAGTGCAGTGGCTCCAGTGTACGTGTGTAAAAAAGGTTAGAGCATACTCCAAATTACCATTCTTGCGTTTGTAGGCTAACTGCAGAGTGGATGCTTACTGCTTTACGCCTTCATTCCCCTTTATTTTTTTTCAGAAGAATAGAATCACATGGTTCTACTATAGTAATTAATCAACCAGGATTAATTTAATTACATGCCTTGATCAACTTATTAGTCTCTAAACTCTTTGTATTTGAAATAAGATGATTTATTCAGGGTCAAAAATTAAAATTTAAAGGGTGAGAAATTATTAACTATGAAAGGAGAAGAGCCAAGCTAAGCATTAAAATTAATATATTTACAAAAACATAAATTGTAGATGTCAATTATATATCTTAATTGATCGATTTGGCGTCTTATTATGTGCCCTTGGTGGCTCTTTCCACACCAAATAAGAAGTTAAAAAACTAAATCAATTAATTTAACCCCTAATTTAAGTCTTTATTGGATGGACTTCTTTTGAAAATGTGGGTTTGATTTAGCAATGCCAAATGTACCAACTTATGATAGAAAAAGTGGTTTTAGTTTAGCAAATAAATTAGTCACATAATTACTATATTGGGCATATATAAGACAAGTTTTAACTACAAATATAAGTAAACATTATTAGATTTATAGCAAAAAACAGGCCTTGAGCATGTGTAAAAAGTTATAGAATAAGTGAGTCACTATGTACATACGCCATTGTCAATTGATTTATTTGGCATGGAATCTCACATGAATTTGTAGATATATTCATTTTATTTGGATGCATGTATGCAAATATCCTCAACATTACAATTTTCTATGTCTGTTTTTAGGCCTTACGTCAATATGTGAGAAAAAAAAGTTGTTACTTTTTAATAATGTTAATAAGATAACAAGTAGGATAGTTATTAATTACACGAAGAAAGAGTTGGCTTTTTAAGATTAGCTAATTATATTAATGCCAATTGGTTTTTGGTGAGCTTTTTTGGACTAATCCTTTAGTCATTATGTGTTGTTCGTATTTATAATTTGACTTTTTTAGACAATCATCCTTGAAGTAGAAGCAGTAATAGACTGATAGAGTGTCCATTATGTTAGCTAGCATGTATCAATCTTATTACAAAAAATACAAAGTAATATAACTCGATTAGTATTAAATGGCATTATTCTTATCGGAAATTTTTATTATGTCAATTCCCATCAGAAAAATTGTAAGTTATTAACATTTCATTTTGTAAGAAATGTTGGGTACTTGGGTGTATAATTTATGATAGCTCAACATCAATTTGATAATTTAACCTAGTATGTAGTAATTTGTATTATTGGACCAAATGAAAAATAATGACTATTTAATTTACATATTTAAGGCAGGTGAGTAAGTGTTTCGTTTATTTAGTGATCGTTTGATTGCAAATAGTCAAATAGGAGGCATCCCTTCACAGTGCTTCAATTTTAAGGAGCTTTATAATATAGATAGCGGTAAAAATTGTTTCGACATTATCTAGAAAAACAAAATTAGTAGGGTGAGACATTATCTAGATGGGATGTAAAATCATCATCAAATTATAAAAACAATCTATGTCGATGAATTTAATTTTTAAAAATAATGTATACGTAAGCTCATCAAAAAAATCAATCATTCAATCCAATAATCCTTCTCCAAACTATAAAGCACTTGTACATTTCATACTTTCAACGAACCATCAAAGCCAAAAATAAAAACAAAATAAATAAAAAGCAAAAAAAACGTGATTACTGCATCATTATTATTTATGTTGGTTATAAGATAAATATCATTGTCTTAGAAAACTTAAATAATGAGATATTTACGAAATTTACCCATCATGTAGACATACTGCTAGCCAAACGATAACGACCAGTGAACATTATATTATATCTGTCCATCTTTGATTACTGCTCGACTGGTTTTTTCCACATGGTCATCCAAGATATTATGATAATATGATTGATTCTTCGTTATTTTAACCTTCTTCAATACTCCTTTCATGTGTTCATATTCAATTCGATCAGAGTCATCAGCAACAATGTACTACGTAGCTCTTACATTGTTTTGTCCGAATGATGCACACATGGTAAAATTACATTTGGGGGGGGGGGGGAACGAATTTAATTAATCATGTGGCCTATCGTTCACATACCATCGATTTTCGCCATATGTCATGACCACATATTGATGCTATGTAACAGTACTCTATGCGCTTAAGCTTTCTTAACTATACTCGGTACAAAGTACTCATATTATAATAATACTTCGTTTTAAAGCGTGTGATAATCATACATATCTAGCCAATTAACAATTCAATTAAGCAAATGATCTGAGATTACAGGTATAGAGAATCGTTATTATTAGACATATATATCAAAAAAAAAAAAATTGGGATACAAGGACTATATGATAAATGGGTCTTGGCTACACCCGTCATAAGTGTCCATTTTATACGACCAAGGAGGTTTCATCCCAAACCCATTTGGCAATGAGGGGTGTAATCCCTTAGCCTTCTTTCACTCATATATGGGTTTGCTCATGGGCTCAACACTCCCCCTCACATGTGAGTTGTCCATAATACTGGTCCAAATCACAACACAACCTGACTTTGATACCATGATAAACGGGTCTGACCACACCCGTCACAAGTGTCCACTTTATACGACCAAGGAGGTTCTCCCTCAAAACCATATAGTTGTTTTATACTATCACTATATGTATGTATTAAATATTGTACCTAAATAAAAATAAGAAGTGAAGATGAATAATAAAAAAATTTCCTTAATTTGGCATGTAATGAATGGATAATAGAAGTTGCAAAATATAGTGACAACACAAAGCATGTATGCTTGCTGTTAAACAACTCGGGTTGGGTACTTGGGTTAGAAATGTGGGTCCCACCAAATGAGATTTTCTGCAATGATAAAAAAATTTATTAAAAAAAAAAAAAAAAAGCATAATGCCATAAAGCCCAAAAATTCGAAAGGCCCTTTTCTTAGTTAGATTAACGGGCCCATAAAGATATTTAAAATAAGTGCAAAAGAGAGAGTATGGTGTGGGCCCAATAATTGTTAGCTAGCTAATGCTGCCATGCATTAACGTCACATGTGACGGGTCCAGTATTCTGGTACAAATTTGGGCCTCTCTTGTCTTTCTTCGAACTTAGAACCGAATACATTGGCCCACTTTTGGGCCCACCTCGTTGCATTAATCTTGCAAAGTCAAACATGTGGCAACATTTTTTAGTTTGCCGTTTGTTTTTGGACTTTTGGGTGAGAGAATGAGATATCTAATACGGAATACTCCGTATCTATATCTATACTCTATACTTTGATAATCGGTATTAATCAGGATCGCCTCAAAAATATCAGAGGCATTGTTCAATTATGATAAAATGAGACCCAAATTATAATTTATCAGCGCATTTTGTGTACAGCTGGACACACTATATGACCGCATGTAAAATAGCAAAGTAACCACTATAATACTGACCGAGTAACACCTGTAATATTAACTGAGAACCCCTACAACACTTATCGAGTAACACCTGTAACACTAACCGAGTAAATTCCTAAAACACTAATGAAGTAATCCCATGATAACTGCCACACGGTATGACCAGCCACATACCAAAAAATTATAATAATTTAAGTGTATATTTTTCATTTATTTAAGGAGTAATATATATATAATCCTAATTTTTGTCAGTCAAGTTGCATTGATAAAGCAAATATTATTTACAATATATAAAGTTATAGTAAGTTCTCATCATTAATAAATCAATATATCATTGATAAATGAATATGTAAATAAATTAAATTTTCCCTTAGTTAAAGTAAATTGCATAAGAGGTTTTATACTTTATACTAGTAACACAAATAAAAAATGAAAAAATAAAATAAAATAAACTTGAAAGGGGCCTTGTGGGATTCCAACACTAGACTTTAAAAGGCCTTGTGGGATTCGAAGGCTAGACTTTAAAAACACACTAAAGGGCCCAATCCCCCAATTCTATACTACTCTGGGGGCCCTATTCCATGTCACAAGTTTAGCCGGTTAATAGCTGGGCTTGATAATAATTTTTAATCAATTTTAAGCCTATGTGAACTAATAGTAAAGGTTGTATATTTTAAAATTTCTTTTTTTTCTTTTTTTTTTTTTTTTTTTTTTTTTTTGACAGTTTAAAATTTCATTTTGGATTATATTCATACTCGTATTTTTTTGGATTGAAAAGGTACACGATTCTAATGGTTTTCCTATCTCAGAAAAAGGTCAATAAAATACGTATTATTCACATGTTTTGTGAATATACGATATTAGCCATTTGAAAAATTATGTTTATGAAATGACTGGATGAGTTTGCGGTGGTCTTGAGTAGCTTTTCCAAGGCTTTTAGAGTTCATTGAAAACTGGTTAGGGTATATCGATGAAGTTGTGTTTCATCATCTAACCCATTGCCATTGCAAAGTTTATGTCTTAGTGACAAGTTCTATCTTTATCATAATACTTTAGATGAATCATCTTTGCATGTCTACTCGTCGATGCAAGCAAATGTGGAACCTGGCCATTCTTGTGGAAAGGCTCTAAAGGGAACTCATGTGCCTTTAAATATGTGTCCTTGCCGAACAAGCTTGACACATTATGTTCAAGATGCTTAATTGCCTTCTACACAGCAGTAACACACTAGCACATACATACTACCTCCATTAATTATTATGTACAACAAAAGAACGTTTTATGTCTTACAAATAATACCCCTTTGTAGCACATAATAATTAACGGGGGTAGTAATATACTAATACAATAACAAGGTGCTCGACTAAGTTGTCAAGCATTGCAATTGCAAGTTATGTCTAATAACTTGACTACATATCAAGTTTGAGTTGCACCCTTGAGAAATGACTACATATCAAGTTCGAGTTGCACCCTTGTATCAATCTTGGACTTGTCTAATCTAATTTCGAATATGCATTTTGAATGTATAATAGATACTCGATAGAAATCTCCTTCTTGGCAATGAAGTCTCTCTTTTTATGGAGTCTTGATAGAGCACGTTGCCAAGAATGCCAACTGGTTCAACCTATCAAATAATAACCTTACTCGGTCTCACTAACTAATAGTAAGGGCAAAGAAAGGATCAAACTCATGAGAGTGTTGAATCAACCACCAAACGATAGACGCTATTTGTTTAACAAATTATCAAAATCACCATCATTGCCTATCACTTTCAAATAGGAAGACGAGCTTAATTGTCACCCATGCTAACGCATTGGATATATCACGTACTTGTAAAAGAAAATCATGTTAAAGTTGGAAGTTATGTGAAATTATTATTTTATCCCTACCTTTTAAAAAGTATGAAAAAACACTTATGAATATTGTGCGTACAATTATATCCTTAAAATGTTGTTTACCTATATGCTCCTATTAATATGATTTTAATTATAACTAAGTTTTCCCTTGTGTGATTTAACTCTTATGAATAGTGTTTGGACAATTATATCCTTTAAAATGTTTATTTGCTTATTTTTCCTTATAATGTTAATTGCTTTATTTTAGAACTCTTACGAATAGTGTGCAGACATTTATACCCCTAAAAATATTTGTATACATATTCTCATTGATATGGCAAATAATTGAAAATTCTCATTGATATGGCAAATAATTGAAAATTCTCATTGATATGGCAAATAATTGAAAAGACTCTCTAAACATGGTTAAATATGATGCACGTTAGCCACCCTAGTTTATTGAAAAAACAAGGATGTCATGTGAATTTATTTTTTTCTTTTTTCTTTTATGTTTAATAAAAGCTAAGGAAGAGTACAAAAGAAAAAAAATGAGTATTTAGAATTTGGAGGTTCGTGGTTAAAATTAAGTTGACTTAAACAACAATTCCATTAATATTCATTATGTATGTAATGTGTGACAAAACCTATTACCTAAGAATTTAATTTCTCCATTCAGATGTACAATTAATATTATTTTCAATATTTATAATTGTTTTTCACTGTCTTCCGAGTAGTTGTCACAACTTTCTTTTCTTTTTTTTTTTTTTTTTTTTTTCTAAATTTTCTTCCAATATTATAACCTGTCCATTTTATTTTGCAAATATATTGTTTTTGACACCACTGTTCTAGATTTTCTTTAATTACATGACGGCAAGTAATCACAAATTATAAAGTGCCACACTTGCAATATTATCGTGCCACCGAGTTCTTCTTTGCTATCCTTTTCATCCAATATACTCCACAATCCACATCACAAAACCAAAAATAGCCAATTAATTATATTAAATTATCATTAATAAATATTTTTATTATAATTAATAGGAATTTCTAATTTTATCCTCAAAGATAAAGGATGTCCACAAAGAAAGTGAAGATCTTGTCAAAACGCGTAAAAGGTTTATACGGGCAATACGGCCATATACAATAGAAGAGGCAAGGTCATTTTGGTAAAAAGACCTGATTTTAAGTAAAAAGGGTTTGACCCGCAAGATCTTAGTGGTCCTTTTGTATGACATCTATGATCTACTAATAATATTCTATACCATGAATCCATCCAAAATCTATATCCTATTTTCAACACTATTACTCTTTGATTAGAGTCTAAGATGTCCATTTATACCACTAGGATGAATTATCTTACAATGGCATCAAGTTAATCATTACTTTGTCATGGACGTATTATGGGCATGTATGGTCCACTCAAGTGTGTAATTAAAATTGTTCGAGATAAATTATGATTGTCTGTTTTTAGAGTTTTAAAGTATATATCTCTAAAATATTTTGTATACTTTTTTGAGAAATTTTGATTATTAAAATTAATAAAAGTTATAAAGTTTTAAGTAAATAAATATTAGAATTACAAGTATGTATTTTTATTTATTAATCTTATATATTTATTGCTCATCAAAGTATTTATTAAAAAAAATTCAAGTTTTTTTTTTTGGTGAATCACTTATTTGACAAATGGATATCGATAAGCATAAAGAAGAAAAAAAGACTTGAAACCAAATTGTACCTAAAAATCAACTTAAACTCGTGTCAAACTCCCGCGTACATATTAGGGATAGAGAATACTAAAATAATAAGAGACACATATCACTATTTTCAAAATGGAAGATATATTAAGAAACTAGAATATGTAGTTTAATACCAAGATTAAATCATACTTAATATTTCATGAGATGAGGTGTATATTAGATATTATCCTCATATCAGGTGTCATGAACATGTAGATTTATTAAGACATGAGTAAGTTTTGTATGTGGCTAGCCACAGGGTGTGGCCACATTGATTTATAAGAATAATCTTTATTTTTTATATATTTTCTTTTTTTGAAACAAGAATAATCTTTATTTATATATATGAGTAACCCTATTTATTCAAAAGAGTAACCTCATTTAATCCATTAAAGTAACTCCAATTCATTATATGAGTAATATCAGCTAATTTTTTTTTAAAAAAAAAGTAACCCCATTTGTTCATTTGAGTAACCCCTATTTTTTTTGTTTTAAAAATTGAAAGAATGATTTCACTTATATAAGAGAGTAGCCCCTTTTTTTCATTTAAGTGACCCACATACGTCAAGATAACCCCATTTGCTCATCACCGTAATCCTCTATTACTTATTTAATTGCCTTATATGTGAAGTGATCATACCATGTGGCTAATCACATATAAAAATTTGTGTGACGTCTCCCCTTTAGAGAGGAAAATGTATTGCATGTATAATATTACGTAAAAAGGTGACTACTTTAGTTATAGAAATTAATCAAAGCAATGCTCCTTTGAGTATGCAAGTAGTTTCTAAAAAAGTAACAATGGTAAGTTTGTATGATTAGAATTCCCACTTTAACATCTCTAAATCTGTGGATAAAGCCACAGGGTCAACGACTGGTGAAATCCTAACCCTTAAAACCTAGTGTTGAAGTCTTAATTAGTTATACTTCGTACTTTGTATACAATTTCTGTAATAAATATTCAAACATATTATCTAATTGATAATAAAAAGTCATCTACTCATCTAAATCCCAAACCCACATTTTACTATACTTACATCATTCACCATCTTTATACACTATTTTAGCCCCCAACTTTTCAAGATCATCATCACATACACCCAAAAAAATAAAAAAAAATAAAAAAATAATCACTCTAAGTCTCTTAACACTTCTATAAGATTAATATATGAATATTCCTCAATAATTTATACACTAATCCTTTCCTTATCAAAATTTTTTTTTAAAAAAAACCATATAATATAATAATAATATGATCTTGGCTATTATTGTCTTGGCTTTGTCTGTCCTCTAGTGTATTGCCTCCTTCATCCCCTTTTCTTTTGGATTTGCATTTTTATGCTCCCCAAATTTTCTCTCTCCTCTCTTTCCATTAATGGCGGACCACTTCTTACTCTCTCTCTCTTCTTTATAGCTCTTCAATTCCGCCATTGTTACTCTCTCTCTTCTCCTCCGATCGACAATTGCTTTTCTTTCAGGTATTCACTTTTTCCATTTTTGTTGCTCACTGTTGTCACTCACTTACTCTATTTTACTGCAATTTGGGGAAAAAATTGAAAATGTAGTTGTTGTAGAATGTGATTTGTGGAATCTAGTGTCCACTATCCCACTTGTTTTAGTGTGTTTCTTTGGTTAAATTGCTTAATTTATTTGTATTTTGTTTGTAAGCTGAATTTGATTTTAGTGGAATTTTGGGTAGTTCGTCGATTTTATTGTTTGTGTTCATGTAATTTTATGTATGTTGTTCAATTTTTAGTGAATTACTTAATTGGTGTTGAGTGTTAATTCAAATGTTGAGTTTTTTGTTGATAAGGTGTCGAATTTTTGAGCTAAATTTGTATAATGTACGAGTGTACGACTTCTAATTTAATGTGATTGATGGGTTTTTGCGAAATTATTCGATTTGATTTTCGTCGTCTTTTCGGTATTTAATTTTGTCATTGTTTGTCAATTCAATCAGCAAGATGACTTTGAAATGGTTTCTTTCTTGTTAAACAGAAAGAAAGGGAGAGATTTGGATGGTTTAAATTGTATTGTTTATTTTAGGGACTAGGTCAAAGCAAATTTTATGTTGTGGAATTTGGAATATTGTTTCTTGGTCATAAATTCTTAATTCAAGGTCATTTTCCGTAATGTTCAGCACTTCTTGGAATTTATTAATGCTCCCTTTTTTTGTTGATAAGCCTTGGAAGTTGTTGATATCCTGTTTCTAATATGATGTGCAGAATTTTGGATGTATTACACATAATCGTTCGCCCATAAGTTGTTAAAATTGGAATTGTAAACTAGAAGATGGAGCAGTATGATGTACTAGAGCAAATCGGAAAGGGTTCTTTCGGTTCTGCTCTTCTTGTGAGACATAAGCACGAAAGGAAGAAGTAAGAATTCCTTCTTATGTTCCTGCCTTTATGCTGTATTTGTCCAATTATAATAATTTGTGCTGTGAAACTCCTCTGTTGCTGGCTTTGATTGTTTTTACCTTTGATCATTATTGCAGGTATGTGTTGAAAAAGATCCGTCTAGCTCGCCAAACAGAAAGAACTAAAAGATCTGCTCATCAGGAGGTTTGTATAAATATCTTATGCTGATCTCTTGGATTGCTCATTTACAGCTGTAGTTTCATCAAATCTCAAATTAGGGCATTGCTTCTTCAATTGTGATCTGAACCAAGCTGAAAATGTTGTTAGCCTGTGGTCTTTGGATTTTAGATGTAGTAGACTAGTAGCAACTTCAGTTACACAGTATGTATATTCTTCTAACAGTCAATTTTGACTCTCTTAGATGGAGCTCATCCGTAAGATACGACATCCATTCATTGTGGAGTACAAAGATTCCTGGGTTGAGAAGGTGAGCCGAAAAAATATATAACGTATGTATTAATTAATGTTTATCTGGTTAGCATGTAGCATGCCTTCTTTTCATATTTTAACATGTATTAGAATTAGAGAAGTTGAAGCTATTGAGGAAATTGATAATTGATGTGTTATGCTTTGAATAACCAGTAATACACCAGCTATTGCTATTGGAGCTACCAAACTTCTGTCATTCTAATTTTGTAGTGTCCTAGATTTGCTTGAAATTTTATGCCCACCCATGAATATAATGTATTTCCTCAGTTTAATGTCAGAAAGGCACAAAAGTACTTGTTACTCGTAGGATCATGAGTAATTTTTAGGTTCGTAGGATGAAATTGTTGAATGTTTGAATTTTCAATTTATGAGGAAACTAGTGATTTACTCTAGAATATGTTGTCTTTGCTTTGTCCCATATTATTTTTAATTTTTCTCAGAAGATTTTGTATGATATACATTATAAGTATACAACTACACACTGATAAAAATTGATCTAAAAGCTGTCCTCCATTTTCTAAAATTGATGATGTTGGCAAATTATTACCAGGGTTGCTATGTATGCATAATCATCGGATATTGTGAAGCTGGTGACATGTAAGTTTCATGGATGACAAGAGTAAATTTCTAACAGCGGGTTGTTTTTCTATGTGTTTGCTTTAACCTGCTGCTAACTTTTTCTTTTATTGTTTTATTTTTTTTTTATTTTTTTTTCAGGCAAGGAGCTGTGAAGCGTGCTAATGGGGTTCATTTTTCAGAAGAGGTTTCCGTTTTCTCTGTTACTAGAATAATTTTCTTCTATTCCCATATGTGGCAGCTAACTGCATTCTGTAGCCTTGTCACTTAAATTTATTGTTTTGACTGCTTGTAGAATCTCTGTAAATGGCTTGTTCAACTGCTTATGGCTCTTGACTATTTGCATAGGAACCATATTCTTCATCGTGATGTGAAGGTCAGTACTTTTATAACTGTGTCAGAACTCATAATCTCACCCCGGCCCCCCATTCTCCCCTTGTTTTTTTAAAAAGTATTCTAGTGCTGAACTCCTATTTATGACTACTACAGTGTTCAAATATATTCTTGACAAAGGAGCGAAACATACGTCTTGGTAAGATGATCGGTTTGGTATTCCTTCTCCCTTCTTCATTCTTCTCACAAGTCACAATGTTTTTCATTTTCTAATAGCTATGGATAAATAGTCTCAATTTTATCATACAGGTGATTTTGGACTTGCAAAAATGCTGACTTCGGATGATCTTGCATCCTCTGTAAGTTCTGGCTCATGCTATTTATTTTTTCTCCGGTGTTGTATGAAATCTAATGTCCAAAACATTTGTCACTCAGGTTGTTGGCACTCCCAGCTACATGTGTCCTGAACTTCTTGCGGACATACCTTATGGTTCTAAATCAGACATTTGGTCATTGGGTTAGGCATCTATGATATTGACAGGCTTCACTGCTTCAGTTCACAATTATCTTTAAAAGCTTCCTGAATCAGGCTAAATCCATTTTTCTTTCTTAATATTCAGGCTGTTGTATATATGAAATGGCTGCCCTCAAGCCTGCTTTTAAAGCATTTGTAAGTAGTCGTTGGTGTTTCTGATTATACTTTAGACTTAACTCTTATATATTGTGCTAGTAAATCGTATTTATATCCACTGTTTACCGGAAAATTAACCAAAAAGGTTATTTTTTAAAAAATAATATAAAAACCCCTTCACTTTCTTCTATTACTTTTTTTCTGGCCAAAAGAATTTTCAGAGATAGTTTCTTATTGACATTCTGGAATTAGCATATGACATTGTTGATTTGTGGGCTGTCTGATGCTTTGTATCTCAAAACTAATTTGTGGGCCATCTAATCAGTGATGACTGTACTGTACACCTTCTATACAGTACTTTAATTCATGATGTATATGTTTTTAGTGGCTCTATGATATCTACTATTATCATCCTAATAGATAATCTGAAACATATGCATAATTTCTTCTTTCAATCTACTTATATGGAAATAGTATACGGATTATGGAAGTAGTTGATAATTTGATCTCTTCTATTAAGCCTCTTGTACTCTGTCTTTGCTTGTTGAAGGAATTGACACATGAATAATTAATTTTTTCTTGTTGTTGTATCCTACTGGAACAGGACATGCAAGCATTGATCAGTAAAATTAGCAGGTCAACTGTGGCTCCTCTCCCAGCCAAATATTCTGGAGCATTGTAAGTTCTCTACTAATTATAGTCTTCAAATGATTTGGGCTTTATAAGTTTTAAATTACAAGCTAATATATAATTCTGAGCCCCCTCTTACAAATCCTACTCTTGCAACCACCAAATTAGACACCATTCTACCTCCAAGCACTGAATTAGGAAAGGATCAGTGACATCAGCCAACAAAAATAAGTGTTTCTTGATATGTTGGCATAAGCTTATAGCTTCAGCTTTTACTGTAAACATATTCAGATCTTTGGGGATTCCTGTCCCTGTACTCCTGTGTGAACTGAAAATGTTAATGCTTGGATGTGCAGGCTCTCTTCTACTGCATGCAAGTGCTTCTCATGTTGTATGCATATTGATAAGCAGATGACATGCCTAACCTAATCATTTTGCGCATTTCTTTTTGCAGTCGAGGTCTTATCAAAAGCTTGTTACGGAAGAACCCAGAACTTAGGCCCAGTGTAAGTATATTATTTATAGTTAAGCTTTGCTGTTATGGCTGCAAGATTAAATATGCATAGTGCTATGGTACTATCAATTCATAATATCTGAAAATTTTTGCTCTGGTCCCTTTAGAAATTCAGCACAGTGCATCTTAGTTCTGTAACTGTACAATGCATTGATTTTTTACCTCTGAATTATTGTCACATGTATCATGTTTGGCTACTTAAACTGATATTCCTCAGTTGCTCACAGCAAAATTACTTTGGAAACTCGAGTACATGTACTGTAGATTATCTGTATGAACCTTGAAACTAATTTAAGTTACAACGAGCTTTTATGCACTGATCTGATGGTATGCAGTATAGTGTCTAATGCCCTTGTCCTTCAATAAATTAACAGTAAAATATTTGAGGATCGTGGAGGTATACTCTATACTAATTGGAAGTACTTCTTATGTGGGGACAACTGCCAAATACTGTGTGCTGCAAATACAAAATTTAATGTGTGTCCATGTTATTACTTGTCTACTAGGATTTATTGACTAATATCTGCAGATAATTGTTTCTTCTAACAGGCTGCTGAGTTGCTCAGGCACCCCCATCTTCAACCTTATGTTGAAAAGATTCATCTCCAGACTAGGAATCCTAGATGTGATGCTGTAGATGATAACTGGGATGATACTGATTCTAATTGTATAGATAAAGCAACATTACCAGAAGCAGAAGATGAAAGGACTGCGGATCCCAGTATATCAGAAGCTGAGCTAGATTCCTTTTACACTGATGACAGAATAAAGCCTACCTTGTCTGATCTGGAACGAAGGTTGGCTAAATTAAAGGCTCAAGATCCCTTTAGAAGAGCTGCTGCTATCGAACCAGTTCCTTCAAAAGTTTCAGATGTTGCAAGAAATCCTAAATTGTCACGAGCAAAAACATTTGGTACTAATAAAAGACGACCAGAGCAGTCAAGACATCAACAATCGGTAAGTTTTGATGTTCACACCTCATTTTATGTAGATTTGGTATGGAGTAAAATGTTAAAATGGATCTGATTGATGGAATATCATTTCCATTACCCGAATGCAATTGAACGATTTATTGCATTTTTACTTCTAACATGTTTACTGACATTATAGCCAATTGTACTACTACTATACTGGCTTTTTGCAGAGTGTTTGGGCAAGCATTATTGTTTTTATTTAGTGTGGAGCATTGCTAAATTTTCTAGCTTAAAGACTGGTTTTTTCTGATACCTGCAGCCTCCTTCACGCACTCCTGTGAAACGATCTGTTTCTGCAAACCGCACCCGAAGAGCATCTATGCCATTAGCTACTAGAGCTGCAGTTTATGAATCACCTTGTAGACCTACTGTAGACATCCTAAAGAGAATCAAATCTCCAGATATTTCTGTCAACTCACCTCGAATTGATAAGATAGCTGAATTCCCATTAGCGTCGTATGAGGAGTCATTCTTCCTAAACCAAAGGAGTTCAATGGTCTCCAGACAGGGTTCGTCATCCCCAGTCTATGGTGGTTGTTCCACTAAGGACAAATTCTCAGTTAAATTTTGTGATATAGGAATGTCCAAGAAGAACTTCGACGGAATGTGGGAGAGTATTCGGGACAACAAGGTACATGGAGAAGGGAAGGATAATGCTAATTCTTCAGATCAAAATGCTACAGCTGGCGCTTCAAGCCATGCTTCATCAGATATGCGACGCAATCGATTTGACACATCCTCTTATCAACAGCGGGCGGATGCATTAGAAGGGTTGCTAGAATTCAGCGCAAAGTTGTTGCAACAGGAGAGGTTTGATGAACTTGGTGTTCTATTGAAACCATTTGGACTAGAAAAGGTTTCTCCGAGGGAAACTGCTATCTGGTTGTCCAAGAGCTTCAAAGAGACCTCACCGAAGGAGGAAAGTTAGTTAACCATTCAATTGAGGAAGTTTAGTTTATTTAGTTTGTCAATATTGGTTTCATCTGTTCCCGGGCAATGGAAGTGCTCTAATGAGGGCCTGCTGCTGCTGATACCACTTGTTGACAAGTTTTAAGCATATGCATCTGTTAATAATTTTGACCTCTCCAGCTTTTAGAAATGACCAGTATTTGCAGAGGATATGGGATCGGATCACTGATCTAAATAATCCTGTGAGAAATACACATTTAACGCGTTCTTTTTCCAGCTGAATGCTGGATCTACCTTTGTAACCATCATCGTGACAAACATGATAATTCTTTCATATATACATAATTCTTTTTGTTTGACCGTGTGTAATGAGTATCTAATTTATCTCAAATTGTAAATTGCAGCAACTTTACTTCCCCCTTGGACTTTCTCAAGTACATATGCACTATTGTTTTTTTGTTTTTTGGGGGGTTATATTGCTTTTGTAATCTAAAGAATGCTTCAAGAGTTCAAGGCCTTCAACTCAAGTGATACTCCGGATACAGCAGCATTCCATCTTCTCCCGTCCTTCGGAAGTGCTTGTACGTGCATGTATATGTATTCATTAGGTGCTTAATTTGTTTTCCTTGGAGAGATCTGAACCTCTGGAAAGCTCAGCTCCTTTTGTTACTTTTCTTCATCAATTAATAATATTCCTCCTCCCCTCTATTTTATGTGCTTAATTTGTTAATTTTCTCTTATTATTTCCACATCTCAGCGTTTGTGATCGAAAAACATCATAAATGGCATAAGAGAAGTCGGTCCATAGCATCATCACACCTCACAATTGTACTTTCAGATTAGTTAGAAGAGAGATTCACCACTTTGGAAAGCTTAGCTTGATTTTAATGGCGAGATGCCTTCAGATTTTGGTTCAACCCAAGCACATTCATAAAATGGTTTTCCGTATTCATTAGGAGCATTACGAATTTTTGGTCAAGCTCATTGACATTCAACCTGCTCCGAAATGCTCATTCCTCTTCTAGACTATCCAACGAAGCGCCAATATAATTTGTAGCATTGTGAAAGTTATTGTCTATACTCTCTGATCAATGGATAAATTGTGAAATTGTGCTACCTAAAGCAACATATGCTAGAAAATCCTGTACGTACAATCGATCTTTTCATGGTATTGATCATTGGTGTTTTCAGCCTATGGAGATACAGGAGAAAAGATAGTTCCTGTAAAAGAAAGAAGAGTACTGCGATCAATTGTCAATGCTTGGGTTGAACTTCAGCAGGTCGAGTTTGATCCATTTACAGGTCAGTTTTATATTCAAGACCCAATTGTATGTCTAATTCTAATCCTTGCACGATTGTGAGCTCACACATACAAAAATTTGCAATAACATAGAACCAGTGTAACTGAGAACATGTTATGAACCCCCGTTCTGCAAACCTAAGCCGTGATTTTTAAGTGATTAAACCGAATTCTTTTGCTAATTAATTCTTTTCGCTCTCAGACATACCCAATACGCTAGTCCTGTAAATGTACCACGAATCGTGTCATACTGTGTACCAAAAAATAGAATACTTTCCATGACAAGTCGTGATCTTACTCCGTAACTTCTTAAGTAATAACTCCCACACTCTAAAAAGAAGAAATAATAATAATTAATGACTAAATAAATGAACTAAAAGAAAAACAAAAGAAATCTAAATCCAAAAACACAACAATGTCTGCGTTCACTTTGGAAAGTTGGGGCAGGTACCGTTTACCGTTGTTTACACTCGTCATTTCGCTGACTTCTGCCCAGCTTTCATGTCAATTCAACATTTCAACATAATATATAACAGAAGTTCACAAGAAATCCTTCAAAGAAGCAATTTTCAAAATAGAGTAGCTGCTTATATCTAAAAGTTAACTAAATTTTGTCAACGAAAGACAAAAAACTTTCATAAAAAAGTTAAGGATATTAGAAAAACAAATGTAGCATACAAGTCATAATATAAACATCAAACTAAAAAATTGAATGTGTTTGAAAAATTCTTCAAACTACTAGAAGCACCTGCATCATCTTCTTCAAAATTTTCAAAGTAAACACGGACGAAGAAAGGGAGGGGTTAGGAACTGAGAAAAGAAAAAACAAAACTCCTACAGTCCTACAACTATGATTCTAATAAGCTTTTTACACAACCTGCCATGAAGAAAAATATTCTATATATAGCATAATCTTGTTCCTTAGCTCTAAGCCTCTCAGCTGTCCTATAAATTTCACCTGCAACTTTGGTAACAAATCGACTGTATCTAACTTGTATTCTCTCATTTACATAATAATCAAACAATAATCAATGGCTTCCTCCAGTCTAATAGCATTTGCAGCTCTACTTCTAATCTCTCTCGCAACCACTGCTTTCGGAGATTCAGGTAAACAACTCTCCTTACAGTAGACTCTATCCCGATTTATCTAATCTACAAACTCAGCACACAATATTTAAGTTGCTGTCATGTTTTCTGATTTTTTTTTTTTTTTTTTATTATAACAGAAATTTGCAGTCAGGTAAGTTGCGGGAAAGGAACGTGCAAATCAAAACCAGACTATATACCACATGGTTTCACTTGTGAATGTGATTCAGGTTGGAGAAGAACACGTCTATCAGACAATGAGGAACAATATCTCCAATTTCTTCCATGTATAATACCAAATTGTAAGTTTTACTTCTTTAAAAGGGTTCATCTTCCACGGTCCTTGGCTTTCTATGGTAGTGAGTACCTCACAGAAAAAACCCTCATACTAAAAGAAAAGACAGGTATATATATAGAGGCAGAGAAAAGGAAGTAGTGCTCTACCTCCAAATCACAAAGCTTTTTCCTTGTTTTTTCACACCAATCAAGAAAGATGGGAAGGAATCAATATAAGTAGTTTTTACTGGAAAATCATTAAAATCATGGAGTAAAACCTGATACTTAGAGCAAGAAGTTCGAAATATATCAAAATGGAAAGAAGCACAATCATTTTAAAACAAGGAAAATTAGGGAAACACCAAAACCAAATGCATCCAGCAACATATCGAAAGCAGTTATTTATTTCAAGGTCTGCAGGAACCAGTTGTTACCTCGTTACAAATTTGATATGAAAACTTGTCTTGGTTTCATAGGGTTTTTAAGAGTAATACAACATAGGCAGATAGGCTATCAAAAATTCAAAATTAAGAAGCAACAATCTCAAGACAAGTGCATATATCAGAAAAGGCTACATAGTTCTTATTAAACATGCACAAATACTTATTGAAAGGCGACTCCTTTTCTTAATACCTATTCTTGGTTCTGTGTTTGTTATGATGAAACTGCTTGATTGCAAATTGTTGATCTTCCTAAATGGAAAAATGAAAATCTTAAACAGGTTCTATAAACTACTCCTGCATGCCAGCTGCTGCTCCATTGCCACCCATCCCCACAAAGCCATTTGACACCGCTATCTTTAATCGTAAGTATAAACAACACTCTATATATCCAATAAACTATTTGATTGATCAAAGTTTCTAAAGTGAGATTTTGATGTTCTAGCTTGCTATTGGGTCTACTGTGGCGAAGGGACATGCACAAACTCATCAGACTACAAGCATTCGTGTGAATGTCAACCAGGATCCTATAATCTCTTCAACGTGTCACACTTCCCATGTTACAGTGACTGTAAGAGCTTTACAGGAATGCATTTAACTAATTGCATGCTGTTAAAAGGAAATTCCTCAGTTTAGTATCTTTGATTGTTGGTTTTGTAGGTGCTTTCGGATCTGATTGCTCTAAGCTAGGAATCAATGTAACAAGTAATTCAAAGACATCTGTTACAGGTTCTAGTTCAAGTATCAATCAGATTTCAAGAAGTGAAAACCATGGTGAGTTGAATGTCAACCAATAAATAGGAAAATTTCCCTTCACTCCTGCATCTTTAAGTTATCATAAGTGCTGTTAATAGCTGAAATTGGCCAGTAAGTTTTGGCAAAGATAAATACTATCACCCTTTGTTCCTTATTACTGATTCACTTTATTAATGTTTCATAATGCTTGTCACTCTAGGGTACCATGTACACATGTAATACTCCATATTACATGTAAATTTTATTTAACAATATAATGCAGCATACTTGTCTGTTTTACATTCCCTACAAAAAACTTAACGAATGGAAGGAATAGAAGACTCAAAAAAATAATTCAATTGAATCACATAGTATGATATCCTAAGAATTACACGGTAATACAAATGATACAGAGAGAACTTCAATAACTTCAGGTAATAAAAAGGGGTCTTCCATGATAGGCTAACTAATAGAAAAAGTTTACAGCCTTTTTCAAATGTTGTTGCTTTAGTCCTAGAAACATGGATAAATTGTTAGTATTAATCCCCTTTTTTTTCTCATTTATGACAGGGATGCGATCCTGGAAGCTCAACTGGATTGTTATAACAGTGATATCTCTGGCTGTGATATTATGGCAATGATGTTTCTCAGCCACCGTCGATTATGATTTTTTTATTATGATACTCATATTCTTCCCCACAACCACCCCCTCCCCCAACACACACACACACACAACACATACATAGAATCAAAGAGAGAGTGGCAGCATATATGAGGTGATGCTTATACAATCTGTTACTGCTGCTACTTTCAGCAATTAACATTATTTGTGAAGTCCCAATTTGTACCACTATTGTTGCAGTTAATAAAGGTTTATGTACTGTTAGTCTACTTTCACTTTTAGTCCATTAGTATGGGTAAGTGGGTAACCTTATAATAATATTAGTATTGCCATTTTCAGAATGTTAAATTTTAACTTTCCCAACGATTATACTCCTTCCAAAAATGTATTTTGTGAATCTTTTGAGTAAATTCAGACCTTCCTAAAACCTACCATACACAGGATACATGGCAGTGGTAATTTTTTTGAGGGGTGGTTGTTGTTGACTAGTATGCTGGTAATGTCTAAAAAATTTCAATGCACTCAATCAAATGGGCTCCAGATTACATTCCTGGTGACTCTCTCAACCCTAAAACATATCCAATGTCAAAAAAAGAGCAACTTCTGGATGTTGACCTACCTATAAAATTTTCATGCTACTAAATTGGATACTGTTTATACATGCCATTTCAAGAAGTCAAGATAACAGACAGTAGATCGAACAAAACAATTTTTACATCATGTAAAACATTAAAAGGAAGTGGACAACCATCAACAGGAAAGCATGTTCAAGATCAAAACTGACAAGATTTAGAAATCAGAACTTCATGAATTTAAGAGTTGGAAATTTTATTGCACCAAAGCGTAATGTACACAATTCAAGAAGCTATCTCTGTATCTCAGCATTGATTCTCATCTACACTTCATAACACAACTAAATTAAATCACAACAATAATTAGATACAACAAGATGCAAAAATATCAAACCAGACCAAAGATCCCCATCTAACATTACAGGAAGTGAGAGAACATTTGTAGAGATGAAGAATAAGCAGTTATTGCTGGGAGAAGGAGACTATTCCATACCCGGAATCCATCAACCAATGGAGATCACTTGGTCTTCACAGTCACTCCAGTTTTCCCGGCAATGATGACCTCACTAGCCATACCAAGGAACAACCCATGTTCCACCACACCTTCCAAGGCTGAAATTTCCCTCCCTGCAGCTTCAGCATCCTTGATGGATGTTGGGAAGTATAAATCCACGATGTAATTTGAGTTGTCAGTCACATAAGGCTTGGCATCCCCATCCATTCTCAACTTTGCCTCACAACCCAACTCCTTAAAGATCTCCTGCAACCAAGAAAGTACAGGCAAAGATATAAACAGGCCTGCATAACAAATGCTTGTCTGAGGGAATTTACCAATGCTACTCTCCAATATAAACAAGGATAAGTCAAATTTAATTAAATTAACTTCAACTGCAAGTTGTCCACAACCACAGAAACGACTTAAGATGTGTATAACCTGGAATCTTTATTTCATGACATATACCCGTGTAGGATCCTTGACACTATGACATTAGACACTTAATTTTCGGCTAAAATCATAAATTTTATTCACAAATAGCCAAGTCAAGACAATGAGGACATAAACTCATGTCCAATATAAGTACCTAGGTCCAAGTAACATAGACTAAGCCTTTGGATCATCAACAAAACCTCTAAAGGTTTCTACTCATGCCGATAAAAAATCAACACTTATGCTAATGTACCCATGTATCAATAGAGCTAACTAAAAAAAAAACAATCAGAAGACCACCTCTAGAGCTCATGTCTAATTCGAGTCTACATTTATAATGATAGACTCATTTCTGTAGCCTGAAATGTAGCACATACAAATACACTCTTTATTCTACATCACTTGACCTTTGATGATCAAGTCCAAGCTCAATGGTAGAGCTCCCACCGCCCAACCAATAGATTCCATGAACTAAAGGCCACAATCTCATTGTTCCATGTACCAACAAACAATGCCATTAAATTGAGCATTATAGTACCCCCTTAATTTCCCTTATCTTACTCAAACATTAATTACCCGATTAATGTGTATTAACCACAAAAGCACACTAAAAATGCAATTTTGAACAAAATGTCACAACCACATGAGCTATATCTACAACAACATTAAATTAAATGATATATATATATAGCTACATTTTAAAACTCAGGCGAATACCAACTAATTTAATTGGTTAAAGTCAAGAGTATAGTACTACTCACTAGTACCCAACACCTAATATCGAATCTCATCTACATCACTGATAACACATAAACATAACAACAAAATTTTAAATGAGTAGTAAGAAACAAAACATGCCTGCAATCTCTTAAGATTATATTTCCAGCAAAACTGAACAACTTCAACAGGCATAGCAAGACGACTACCACCCAAACCATCAACAAGCTTAGTATCATCAACAACCACAATAAACTTATCACTAGCAGCCTCAACCATCTTCTCCCTCAACAACGCCCCACCTCGCCCTTTCACCAAATTAAGATCAGGGTCAACCTCGTCAGCCCCATCAATGGCGAGATCAATGCGAGGATGATCATCGAGGACCGAAAGCGGAATACCCAGAGACGCAGCCTGTTCTTGGGTGCGTTTCGAAGTCGGAATTCCAACAATGTTGGTGAGTTTACCGGAAGAGAGAAGTTCGCCGATTCGGGCGACGGCGAATGCGGCGGTGCTTCCGGTTCCGAGGCCGAGAACCATGCCGGATTTGATGGAATCGACGGCTTTTTCGGCGGCGAGTTTTTTGAGATCGTCTTGGGAAAGAGTGGGAGTTGGGGTGGGAGAAGAGAGGGATTTGATGGTGGTGGAGAAGAAGGGTTTGGAGGTTTGGTAATGGCGGAATTTGAGGTTGAGGAGTTTGGTGGAGGGGGAGATGGAGGTGGAAGGGAGGAGAGAGAAAGTGGCGGACGCCATTGGAGAGGTTTGAAGGAAGGTGGGAGTGAGTGAGGAATGAGAGGTGAGGTTTAGAGGAAAGTGGTGTTCCTCTAGTTGTTTATCTGATATTGAGATTATTTTTGAATGAATTTCACGAGATTTTTACTTTGGATTGGATCATATGATTATGGGGTGGGTGACAATGGAAAAAGGAGGGAATTTTGTTTGTTTGTTTTTTCAATCTCGTTCTTGGTGGGGAGATCACTTCACCCACCACTTAACATTCTAAAAATAGTAGGGAGAAAATACAAGTTCATAATTGTCAAAGTTTATATTACCTAGAAATAACAAAAGTTTGACTTGTTTTAGCCGGTCCGTTTAAAATTTGTATTATTTGTTTTACAATTTTTTCTTTTAATAAAGGATTAATACTGTTTTTTAATCCCAACTTTCACCAATTTATTTTTTATTAATCCCAACTTTGGATTATTCCTCAATAATCTCAACTTTAAGGCGGCATATCTTTCTTCATATCCAAACCGGTCAACAACCTTCTATTGTAGGTTGCTAGACACGTGTCGCCACGTGAGTGGTCCAATTTCTTTTTTTTTTTTCTACTGAACCAATTTTTTTAAAAAAAAGAAAAAAACAAAAAAAAAATTCTTTTTATTTTTTTCATTATATTTTTAATAAAAAAAATAATTATTTTATTTTATTTCCCCCATCACCTTTAACAGGCCCTCCCCCTCCCCCTCCACCTCCATTAATGGCAGCTACCATCCCCTCCATTTCCAGCAGTCCCCCCATCCCCTCCATTTCCAGCAACCCTCCTTTCCCTCCGTTTCCGGCCGTCCTTCCACTTCCCCTTGAAACCCCTACCCGAAACCCACCTGAAATCCCCTTTCCTCTTCCCTTCCCTTTCTCCTCCATGACTACCGACCACCCAATCGAACACCCAAACCCCTCGAATTCCAGAAAAAACCCACCCACCTTATCGATAAACCGCCAAAAAAAAAACCCACCCAAACTGTCTCAAGAGCACGGCGCACCGTTTGGGTATTCAAATTGGAGCACAATTCGAAGTTGTTGCTTCGATTGGAGGCCGAAATTGTTGTATTTAACTGCCAAATTGATATAATTGATGGTGGATTGGAGCAATTTGGTGGCGGGATAGGTGATATTGTTGTGCGAAGTTATGATGGTTGGCGCTTCTTGTGGTGGTGACTTGGGCGCAATTGCTGTGTTGCTGGGGTGCCGGTGGTTTTGGGCGGCTGTAGGTTGATATGGGGCTGTGGTTGGTGAGTTTGGGGAGCAGGGGAAGCGAGCGGGGGTTGCAAGTTGTGGGCTGATTTGGGTCGGAGAAGACGGCTGGGGGTTTATACGATGGGGGAAGCAGTTTATTTTTAGATTTCAAGGTGTTTAGTGATGGTGGTTTGATGGTTTAGGGGGAAGGGAGTCGCCGGAGTGGGGAGGAGGGGATTAGGGTGCGGCAGGGGTGGCGGGATGAAGACAGGGTCGTGGGTGGTGGTAGGTTGGGTGGCTAGTATTGGAGCTGATTTGAATTGCTGATTGTAGGTGGCGAATCGACATTGAGGTGGAGATGCATGGGTGCCGCGGCTGACGAATTAGGCTGGTGGTGATGGTGGTTGTTTGGTGTTTGCAGGTTGTGCGGTTGTTTGGGTTGAGCTGCTGGTGTTTGTTGTTGTTATTTGTGGTTGTAGCGTGTGTGGAATGGAGCGGCTGATTGGCGGGAAGAAAGGTGTGAGTTTTCAGGTGGACGGTGGGGTGGGCTTCCGATGGACGGTGTGGCAGGGGTGGCCAGGGAAGGGAAGGGGGTTTTTTTGAAAAAAAATTAATTTTCAAGGTTTCTGAATTTTTTTTTATTCTATTGCTTTTTTTACTTAATTTTCATTAACTTGTGACACTTGTCACTTTTTAAATAAAAAAAAAATAACCCATTCAACCGGTCACCGGTTTTTGGGATTGAAGAATGATAAGCCACCTTAAAGTTGGGATTATTGAGGAATAATCTAAAGTTGGGATTAATGAAAATAAATTGGTGAAAGTTGGGATTAAAAAACAGTATTAATCCTTTAATAAACCAACAAGTTGGTATATTATAGGGCATATAGGTCATTTTATTAATATAATTGGGGGCAAAATTGTAAATTTAATCCTTCTTCCTTTATTTCCTCTTCTCTCACCAATTACCACAATTGCGACAACTTTAGATTTCACCATTATTATTGAGATGTAGATGCCGCAGCGAAGGAGATGTCTCCCCTAGGGGTTAGTATTACCCTACTATACTTTACACACTCTATTATTATGGTATCTTTTTGTTCAGCTGCAAAGCAGCGTTGAGGACTTGAGGCCTTTCGTTTCGAGGAAGGAATGAGGTAGAGGACGACGAGTAGACGAATAGATCGGCAGGAAGACGAAGAGATGGTGGTAGTTGTGGTGGGTTTCATGTGGTTGTGGACTTGTGGTGGTTGTGATGGTGGGAGATGGGTTTGTTTTATTTTTAAAAAAGAAACACAAAAGAAGTTGTAAAAAAGCAGACTAATTAACAAAATTAGGCTAATGAACTGGCATTCACAAATCACAATTTTATTTATTTTTTTTTTTTTTTTTTGGTTGGTAAGGATCAAGATCCTACCGGGCCAGAACCTCTCACAAGTCACAGGTTCTCCCGACCCGGGTTAGCGGGCTAGACACTTTGGGAGTGGGGGGAAGAGTAAGGGAATCCCCACTCGGCTACTCCAAAGTGCCTCTAGTGGGGTTTGATCCCACAACCTCAAGGTTGATTGTGAGATGCAAACCTTACCACTAAACGCTTGGTAGTCACAAATCACAATTAGCTAATTAAGTAATATCATTATTGCTAATAATAATGTTATTATTAGATAAGATAGTAGAAATGAAAAGAAAAAAGGAAAAAAAAAATCGAAGAAAAGACTGGACGGTTGGATGTAGAGCTGGCAAACCCTGACCCGACACGAAAACCCGACCCGAAGTTAGTGAGAGAGACCCGAACCTGACCTGAACCGAACCCGAACAACCCGAATTCGACCCGATTTGACCCAAATTTCATATTTCGTAATAATATTAAGTTTTACACTATTTTTAATAGTTTCTAAGCATAACCCGAAATCTGACCCGAACCCGACCTGCTGACCCGAATTGCCACCCCTAGTTGGATGATGCATGGACTTGAGATCTAAAGTGGTAGGGACTTTTATGAAAAGTGTTGACTTATTTGTCCAAGCATTTCATGTGCAAGTAGTTCAGCAACTCAAGCCTTGTAGGAAAAGTGTAGAAGTGTGTTGAGCACTACAAAAAGGTGAAGCTCAACGTGAATGTAAGAGAGAGTGCATGCTAGCAAAATTTAGAAATCTAGCAAGAATGTGAGATGAGAGCTCATGATGAAAGTTAGCATAATGTAGAAAGCTAGCAAAATGTACTTTGCTAACTTTCATTTTGAGTAAGCTCATCTCGCACTCTTGCTAGCTTTCTTCATTTTGTTAGCTTTCTTCATCTTGCTAGCTTTCTTCATTTTGCTAGCACCCTCTCCTACATTTACATTGAGCTTCACCATTTTATAGTGCTCAACACACTTCACACTTCTACAAGGCTTGAGCTGCTCAAATACTTGCACATTAAATGCTTAGACAAACAAGTCAACACTTGTTCATAAAAGCCCCATGCTACATTGGACTTCAAGTCCATGCATCACCCAACCGTCCACTCTTTTCTTCTTTTTTTTTCCTTTTTCTCTATTGTCAAAAACCACCTTTTATAACACCTTTTTTTGTGAAAAAATACCTTATAAAAATTTTCTTGTGAAAACACACCTAAAACACTTTTGTTTTTGCGAAGTAACACCTTAACCTGATTTTCGGTGTTTGACTTAGTTTTTCGACGTTGACTTTGCACGTGTGGGTCACGTGATCTCATAAAACCACCTTCCTTTATATTTTTCCCCCTTTCCCTCACCAACACCACCTCACCCCCACCACCAATTCACTACCACCCTCACCAACACCATCTCACCCAACAAATCTACTCCCATGAAAATTCCACCCCCATTAATTCACCCCCATCCACCCAAAAACCCCACCCCACCTCTTCACCCCCTTCCTCCATTGAAGCCCAATATTGCAAGCACATACATAAAAAAATAAAAAATAAATAAAATTGAATCAAAGACCACATTGGTGGACATCCTAAACACATTGGCCCCTCGAAATTACTGCTAACTCCATCCTAAACACATTGGTGGGCATAAATCAGTCCCAAAATAGTAACCCTAATTTTCCATTACAAACCCTAATTTATGAAAATTTGAAAACCTAACAAAATTAACAAGCAATTCATTAATTAAAACAACTTACTGGCCTTGAAATTAGGTTAATTGCAGCAATTTGAGCTCAACAATGAAGTTCCCTTCTTCAATGGAGAGTAATTGAGGCTTGGTTGGAAGAAGAAAGGAGAGAGAAAGTTGAATTGGAGAAAGGGGGTTCAATTGGAAGGAAAAAAAGAGGGGGAAAATTAAGAAAGGGGGGATTTGCCGGAACACGTGCATGTCAATGCCTGAAAACCGAGTCAAACACCGGAAACCAGGGTCAAGTGTTACTTCGCAAAAAAAAAAAAAAAAAAGTGTTATAAAAGGTGGTTTCTTACAATTTTTCCTTGTCCTTTTCATTTCTACTTTCTTACAATAATAAAATTATTACTCCCTCCGCCCAATATATAGTTCATGTTTGTGTTTTTTCACGGTTTTAAGAAATAGGAGGAAAAGGTGAATGAAGTACATAAAAAAAAGTTGAAAAGTAGAAGTTAGAGAGGAAATAGTGAATGAAGTACATAAAAAAAAAAAAAAATTGAAAAGTTAAATCATAGACAAAGGTTAGAGAGAGAAAGTGGAAAAAAGTACAAAGCAAATGGAAAATTTAAGGGTAATTTAGGAAGTACAATGAATAAAGTTAAAAGAATGAGGGTATAATGATCTTTACCTATTATCCAAAAATAAAAACAGAAACAACATTTTGGGTCTTTAAAATAGGAAACAGGAACTATAATATTGGACGGAGGGAGTATTAACAATAACAATATTGCTTAGCTAAATGTGATTTGGAGAGAATAACAACACTTGGTACATCATTTAAAACACAAAAATAAATTATGTTCCGAATTCATTTGCTAATCACTATTTTAAGCATTTACAAGTAAAGTATTTGCATTTACAGTGCTGCACGAGGAAGCTTAGTTCACAATTAAATACAAATGTGTACACATCTTAAGCTTCATTGCCGAAGAAGTTCCAACGCCTTTACCAAAACTGTCCTAAAGTTGCTCATATCTAACCTCACATCTTGATTATCCATATAAATCTTCTTAAACTCGGGCCAACCTGCCTTCTTAGCTATTTCCGGGTCTGTAATTACTTGATGTTTAATCGGATATTGTTGAATGAGGCTACTTTCCTTTACACTAATCTCATACTCCAAATACTTGAGACTCATATTTTTAGCAGGACGTTCGTAAAAGATCTTCGACACCGACTGCAGTCCTATAGGAATTACCTGAATCAGGACAGCATTTTCAGGGAGATAAAGAATATTAGTTAGCCCTGCTCCATGAACACCAAGCATCACATCAGCAGAATTTACTATCTTGGAGAAGTTTTTAAGGCTCATTCGTGCATCAATAACCTCTACATCGTAGCCTAATCTTTGAGCTTCGGCTACTATTTTATCTTCATTTAATATGGTTCTAGTTTTCTTCCTTGAAATGATCAGTAACCTCGGCTTCCTGTCATCCTCTGCAGTTATCTGAATCGCTGTATCCCTCTGTAACGAATAAATTTTTCTTATGAACTGTGTGAAGTTCCTTAATGTCAGTCCATATGGTAATTTTTCAGGGTCAATACCAAAATCTTGGTGAGATTGAACACCAATAATTGCATTATTAAAACACCTGATCTCTTTGTCATGATTTAAGTCAATAATTTCATACTTAGACAGTGCCTTCAGTGTAACTTCGTGTCGTTCGTTCCAGTAATAATGCTTATCTTGTATCAGAAACTGAACTTCCCTGTTGAAATGCAGGGATGTAAGATAAAGGGGTATCAAGATATCACTCGTGTCGTGGAAGATGTTGCCTCCATATCCACCAGTCGAGAACACAATGGCCGGAACTGAATGATTTACAGTACATTTAGGCATTTCTTGTACTGATAATACTGGTTTAAGTAACAACTCTTTTACCTGTCCCATGACATGCTCATCCGTCTTTCGAGCATAAATTTTGATACCCCAAGTCCTATTTTCTTGCAACTCTATGTTTTCTAGTTGAGGTGAGCTGAAAAAGATGGAGGAAGAATTTCCATGGATTCTTATGTCCCCATTAAACTCGCAATAATCTGATTTTTCGCCTGAAAAATTACACATTGGTGCTAGGAATGGCTCGAAACTGTCGTGTGGAACGAGTTTAACTACAAAAAAATAAATTTTTAAAAAAAATTAAGAGGTGATCAATTGTAGTTAAGCACGAAGAATTTTAACCTCAAAATGGTAAGAAATTAGTGTATAGCACCAACCTGTATTCTTGTTGTTGGAATTAAGCCTCCTCAAATTGATTTCCCCTGAAAACAAGAAACAAAAATAGCTTGTAAGTTGTATTGAAACTGTCATTGTTGTAATCATAATCGACTAATCGTATGAACTTACGTAAACTAGATTTTTGAGCCCATACAACAAACATTTTTGTTAAAATGTTAAACAATGAAATGCATATTAAATTCCTAACAAGTGAAACAACCAATTAACAAAAACAATGCAAGCTTATCAAGTACTTGTATTACAGGAGTTCATTAAAAATATGCTAGCTAACACGTTCGATGTTTAAGATCGAGTCATCAAACGAGCAATAGGAGAAGCTCATATATACATACAAGTTCATACAAAAACAAGGCAGAGAATGAAAACTTACAAATAGGTAGAGGATCCATGTAAGACTTGAGAACTGTACAAAGGCTGACGGTGACAAGAACAAAGCTAAAAAGCACCCATAATCCAACTCTTTTCCTCTCCAACTTTACACAACATTTTGCCAATAATTTTTCCAACATTTTTATTTTTTGTATTTTTTGTTTCAAAAAATTGATTACAAAATAATTTTCTGAAGAAAAAAAATCACTATATAAAGTCAACCTTTAGCAGTGTAAGAAATGGTCATGCAGAAGGGTTGAATTCCCTGATTTAGGAGTATAATGGCTAGAAAATTTTCAAATTAATGACAAAAAAATGAATTAGTCACATTTGTAAATGTATCTATGTATATATACTAATAATTTTATAATAAGGTTGGTACGAATTATTAGTTTGGTGATCATATAATGCTCCCCACGATTTGGTGAAGGCTTGACTCTAGAATAAAACAAGAACCAAAAATTGTTTATTTCATTAGGTGCGATGCAGACATACAATATCTTTTGTGTTTGATTATAATCTGCTTAAATTTGGCTACCTTGGGTGTTACATATAATTTCATATTACATAAATTATTAACAAAATTGTGGATAATTATATAAATATACACCTACTACCATATTGGCTAATATTTAGGACAAGAAAATACACGTACACACCTAACAAATACAAGTATTAGTTTGAATTAGTCATTGTTTATTTGGTGCTTTGCTTCTAGGCTTCTTCGAGTACCATGCATACTTTGATTATTCCCTCCTAACCTTTTATTAAGGGAGTTTAGACTGCTAAGTATGCTAACTATTCCTTCCTAAGTCCTAATCATTACTACGTGTAGCATTACTGACGAATCTAATAAGACCTTAAAGATAACTTTTATAATAGAGATTGTAGTGATTCTACATGTCAATTTAGGTCAATAAAAAAAATCAATTTATAATTAGTACAGAGTACTCTGTAATAGTTTTAGTCATCAATTTTCTTCGTCTAGCAAAAAAAATGATTACAAAAATAAATAATTTTACTTAAACAAATTTAAAAAAAAAAAAAAAAAAAAAAAAAAAAAAAAAAAAAAAAAAAAAAACAGTTTCAATCAGCAAATATACAAGGGAAGTAGGGAACGAATAAGCAAAAACTAATCTCAATCTATAAAAAATAAAATAAAATAAAAAATCAGTTGCAAATTTGCAATAATCAAAATCATTTTAATTTAATAATTGGAATGATTTCAGTTTAATTTAATCAAATGTTTAGAACAGACTGATAGAATTGATCGTTCAACTGCCTGGTTGTTAAAGGACCAATATAGAGGCTCAATGCTTGTCTACACCCAAACATGAACCATCCCAAACTAAACTAATCTCAGATTCTTCACAATCATTTTAATTTGTTTATCTTTGCTTTCTTGCCGTGTTCTGTTTTGTTGACTTGAATGGTAATACTTCTATAAGTTAGACCAACTTCGGTTTATGCCCAGCTAATTTATAATCTTTCGAAACCACGAGAGTGATGGAGGCCTGATGAGGAAAAATTAACAAACAAGAAAACGAAATGAAAACTACGAGTACATAATAAAGCCATCCAAGATCCAGTCTGGGACCAGTTTGTGAACCCAAACTCCGCTTAACATCAAACCATTGACCACGACACATGATGTGGGTTGGTACGCACTAAAACAGCCTGTACCTGTCCAGTCTATAGACCAGACTAGAAGGTGAAAAATGGCACATTAAAGAGCTATGAAGGGCAGCACATCCTGGACACTTCCACACAAGATGTCACAACTTTGGGGTATAAATCGTCATAAACAGCCAATACATGGCTAGTGTAATCCAATATTGAAAAACCGAATAAGACTGGAAGGTTAAAATACTCGGGTCAATTGTTCAATTATATCCCAGCTCCAATATATTTTTATAGCTGATTAATGCTGGTCCTCAATCTTCTTCAAACCCTTCATATCTGTTGTCTCAACCCTGCATTGAACAATCACTTAGTTTATTGAAGCACTTGCAATCAAAACACTTGACATGTCATGTCAAATACTGACATCAATGATGCAACATAAAGATATAAGCCAATGACATTCGTGAACATATGCACATTAACTCCACTGTGTCCACTAGTAAACTAACACCTTGAAAAAAGCGTCTGGTAATATGGCACCAACTGATGTAAATGATAGTATCCATCATCATATATGCCAAGGAAAACGAGAGTATAATAGGGGATGGGGAAAAAAAATTAAGTTCATGAAGATCCAGAGGAACAGAAGTCAGAAGTCTTCTAAAAAACTAGAATATCCTACTCTGCACTTAGTTTCTGCCGGATGTAGGAATCATTAATTCACATACCACTTTAGGCTCTTAAACCTAAGCTCAACTGCCATGTGATCAAGAAATTCATGACTAGAAGTAGCTAGCCTCCTATCATGAAGTCAATTAGTCCAGGGATGTAGCCATATCAGAGTTTTTTTTTCCGCTTAAAGCAGCACCATCCAGATTCTTAGACAAAAGTAACACTGTAACAGCCTCAAAGTACCATGTGCACTCACAAGAGATATGCAGCTAAATCTACACCGTGCTAATTTTTGAGATTTAATAGAAGTATAGAACTGGCCAACAAAAAGATCTATGCAGCTATGCTCTAAAGCTCAACCCAAGGCCTCGAGTTGCCAATTACACAATTGTATTTTAAATCCTGCCCTCAATTATCACCAGAGAGTTACTTCTAACACAAGCCTTTTACAGTCTTGACATGTCTCCTCAAGTTACAGAAGATACAACTACCTTCTTAACAAATACACCATAATACAAAATTACAAAATTGAACCAACAGGCAGAAGACAATACTTTGTGCTAAAGGGAAAAGCCAAATGACAGGTGTAGCGAACAAGGCTTTGCTGAGACAATTGTATATACTACAGGTTTGTTGCAAATCACCACAGAAAAATAGATAAACCAAAGTATCAAACCAAGGATCAAAACCCCTGAGTCCTGACTAAGGTAGAGTCTCAGAGTCAGGAAGGTCCATCAGGACATTTTAAGAAATTTACAGATCAAAGGGCCTTGCACACAGGTAAAGGGAACCTAAAAAGATTAGGGGTTTTTAAGCCCCTTATAAATTTCCAGATATTGGTGTATATTCAGAGCTAGTTATGTCCAACTAAACATAAGATCACATTTAGTCAGATACATCAGCGGCTTTATAGCAAGAACAGCCTATATTGAATGTAACAGAGTACAGCCACTCAAATGGCTGATACTAGTGGGAAAAGCGTAAGAGGCCATCTAGGCCCGCAGGTAAGGGAAGCACTGCCAGTGTCCTATAATTCTAGTTGGACACAAATGAGGCTCAGCCTGAACCATGTCCTGTCCAAGCCTGCAAATGATGACCTACAGATCAAATGTACTCAGGAGCTGAAGCATAGGCAATTTCCACAAACCCATCACTACTAACCTATTACTTCAAGTGGCCAATAGAGAGTAGAGACTCAATTTTGGTGGCACATCAGGCAATTGTAGGGAGAAAGAAGATTCACAAAGACACTCCTCTAAAGAGCATTTGGATCTCCTCAAACCTCTTGCATTAAAACCCACATGAACTAATTGTTGCTAGTTAAAAAATTTAAATAAAAATAATAATAAAAAAAAAAATAAGAAATGGAAATTTTAGTCTGTACGAGCAAACTAAGAAATTTGTGGTCATATAATGTCTAGATGCTCATTGTCCGAAATGAAAGTATATAAATAGGCCTTTCAAAGCAAAAGCACTTGAAGTTTTGAGCTGTCTTAACAGAATTTGTTCTCTATCAACATCATTTCAGCTGAATGAACTCATGGAAGTGAAACCATGACCTAATTTACCAATCCCATCCCTCTAGAAAGAACAAATTTAGCTCGTTGTTTATCATAGATCATGATTGTGCAGCTGCGTGCATTATGAAACTCCAGGATTCAAGTTAGCTTGTCACTTGTGGCTACCCATCTCAAGTAAAGTCATCAAAGAATCATACTAACAACATATCTCTTTTTCTTATATATATAAGTCTAACATTGATCTACAACCTTAATTTTTTGAAAAAATTGAGGCTTCATGCCTAACAGAAAGACGGTTCATTTCTAACCAGACTCGTTTCTTCCTTTCTTGGATAAATTAGAAGTGGTGAGAACTACTTTCAACGAAGCTCACAAGGCACCTTTCTAAAGTTTTCTGATAACCCCACCCATCCATCCACCCACCAAGGTGCCAAGGTGCAGGACATTATGGGTCATGTGTTTTTAGTGGTCTAGGCAAAGTGATTTTGATAAAGCGCAACTGAGACGCAACCACCACCACCACCACCCTCTGACACGCAACAGTTACTCACACACACACACACGATTGAAACAGCAAACAAAATGACAAGACTGGAGCAATGTAATCAATAACAGATAATCACAAAGAAAGACGAGATTTAATCACAACAATGATGAACTTACGTTGTTCCGTACAGAGCGATCTTCTGAACCTTGGTCACCTCCGATCCAGACTGATTATCTTCAATGAAAATTGTTAAGCTGTCCATACATCCCAACAAAAATAATTAGAAAACAAAAGATTGTCGAGATAATGTACTTTCTCCATTTCCTTAAATTTGTAGCAATTTGACTCTCACGTTTGTCCATTTACAACTTTGATTATTGATTTCCTATATATCTATTAGTAAATATTACAAAAAAAAAATAAAAAAAAAAAAAATAAAAATAAATAAATAAATTTGATACTAAGGTAAACGACATTGACACGAATCGAGCATTTAACATAATAACATACTTTTGTTAGCAAAACATGTGAAACTGTTGCAATTCTAAGGAAACAGGAGAGGTAATGAGAAAAGCTATTTCAGGCCTTTCAGCAATAAAGCATACCTGCGAACATTTTGGAACTTGACATACTTCAATACTACGGGCTTTCCCTGCAATGGACAATGTAGTACACATTGTAAACATAACTGGTATTAAGATGGAGTTAAATCTTTTAATAAAGTTGATGACAGAAAACAGGGAGCATTGATCAGTTACCTTTATATTTTCAGCTGAAAGTTCAACTGTATCACTTGGAGGATAGTCATTGACATTACTGCCATTAATATTATCCAGAGGTCAGATCCAGAAATACCTAGAACTTATCAAATCAAGAGAAAGCATGTGACCATGAAAACATACCTAAACCCCATATTTTCTTTGTTTGAGTAAAGTTTGACAGTTTTAGGACCTGAAAATGAAAACTCTCTTCAGAATTTTGACAACCTACTAAAATTGCAGGGGGGTGAGGGGAATGCAAAATTAAGATGACGCATTTACTGTCCACTGAAACCAAGAAAATGTGAAAATTATAGGTATGAAAACCTTTTCCATCATCAAACAAAGAAGTGTTCACAGTTCATCAATTTTCAGTATGACATGATTTGTTTGAGCTGCTACCCCCAAATGTAGGCAGAAGATAACATATGCATCAATGCATTGCTCCATGCGTAGTTGCTTATTATATCTACTTACAAAACTACATCTAATCCCAAATGAACTCAAATGGGTTTCCCATGAAATTTTATTACTTGAAGGGAAAAGATAGTAGAAAACAATTTCAAAAGATGGAATGATGGATTGGATAAAATCATGACTTGATCAACGACATCCTTAACCAGCAAATCAAAAACTGAATTTCGCATGTAACATGAAAACATATGCCTTATTATAACCACAGCAATACTACCCCATCCACGGAAAAAAAGAGATGAAACACCAAATAAATACATCAAGAAACAAAGCACAGACCAATATAATCAGTTATCAGGACATGCACTTGTGCACGAAAAAAGTTTACACAGTGTGATTCAGCATGAGTAATCAAAAGAAAAGTACCAATATCACAAACCAGTAAAATTGACAGCTACTACTCCATATAAGCATATGCTCAAAAAAAATAATAACAAAAATAAAATAATAAAACAAAAAACAGATCTTTTTTTTCCATGACATGTAATTATTTAATTTTTCTATTTATTGTTTGATTTGTCAAGAGATTGGGTTATGGGTCAGAGGTGATATTATAATATTCACCTTCTTCCTCTGGTCCTTTGATGACAATAGAATGCAGCTTAATGACTTGTGTAAATGGAATGTAGATCAAAAGCTGCTCATCAGCATCACTCTCTAGATTCAACCCATCATCTTCACGGTAACCCTGGTTCATTAACAGCAGAACATTAAAACAGCAAATCATACAATAGTTGAACTCAAAGTTAATATCAATCAGATTGATGAAAAAAAAAAAAAAAAAACTGCATTTTAATTCTTCAAATCCCATTAAATAATATTGTTAAAATATTCACTGTCAAACAGAAGAGTACAAATTCCCTAGTATCCCATCTTTGCCTGTAAAGAAGAGTGCAAAATTTTTTACTCAAGTCATATTAGGCTTGTTGCTAAGTCTCTGGTTATTCCAAACAAAATCAAGGATTTCTTACGATGTCATATTAGGGTTTCTCACCTCTTACAATGAATAAGCTGCAACAATTATTAGGTTTCCAAGGTGTATAAGGTAAATTCTTTGAGAATAATGAATTAGGATTTTCATTTTATCAGGCTTGCGATGGATAAGAATTATGTTACATGACTACGTGTCCAAGTGTCTGACTCGACTATTTTGTGAAACATTTTTGTGATTTTCACCCAAAGTGAGGTGCCTATGTGTCCACCGAATATATCCAAGTATCGAGGATCTAACACGGGTAATTGAGGTAAAATAAAGAGCCCAAGGAACATCTATTGGATAAGGGAGCCAAGGGCACAAGGCAAGTTTTCCACCTTTTTAAGAGCTATTTTTCTTGAACGCAGGTGACAAATACAATACCATATCCAAGTGTTACTCACTCTTAATTTCAGACACAGAAATAATATCCTAAAGCTGACATGGGTGTCAGTATGCAGCATCTATAAAACCTATACTTGATTTTAGAAAAGTTTTGCATGTACTTCGTACATTATAAATAGACATGCAAACATTTTAGCCCATCAGTCTGAGTTGTTTTCTAGTACTTGTCATATTGAGCCATTAGCATATATCAGAGTATCACATTAGTCCATTCCCTTTAAGATAGCTTTCATAATATGTAGTAGTTTGTATGAATTCCAAATATGTTTTTACTTTCATACACAAACAGTACAATTGTGAGGGAAGATCCACCATTCCAGTGATAAAATCATCCAAGAGCAGGGTCGTTATACAAAATAAAAAAAAAAAAAAAAAAAAAAAAAAAAAAAAAAAAAACTCTGACATGTGTAGCCTGTAGGTGCAAGAACGTGAGCCGGATACATTCCAAACCAAATTGAAGGGCATTTGGGGGGTGGGGGGGGCAAAATGTTGTTATTCACACAATGATGGATAAATACTTCCTATTAATTTCTCAAATTTAGACAATACGAGATCCTAGTTACTCAATACGGTTTTAATTGATTTTCTTGAACGGACTAGTGTTACATCTAATTAAAAATCTTAGATCCATCACTTTGCACACCATGACTGTTTTGCACTTCCTATTAATGTTTCAATTTAGACAATTGAGTACCACTCCAACCAGTCGCCAAGACCGAGAACAATTAGTCCCGGAATCAAATCCTCCCCCCTTGTCAAATTATCGTACACATCCCTATCGTATATAAATCCTTCTCAATTTCCCTACCACAAGCGAAGGATATTTCTAGCAATTCATGCATCCTCTTATATATACAGGAAAATATTCGTAACGAATTGGAATAAATTGATGATACATTCAATCAACCCAGAACAAATAATCAAATTCAAATAAACACAGTTAGCAAAAGAAGCATCAACCAGATTGAATTCCACAGTATCATAAACTAATCAATCAAAACTTACAAAAAGAAAAACCCTAATTTTCAAATATGTAGTTTCAATCACAAACAGTCACAAATTACTTCAAATTGCAAAAAAAATTCAAAAAATTCAAAGAATTGATAGAGAGACGAACCTGTTTGAGGGCATTGGCAACAGTGTGAGTGCCACTTTGATTGAGACATTCAATACCTCTCCAATCGATGTGTTCCAATAAATCCACCTTCGAACAAAAACCAAAATTAATTTCAATTGAAAAATAAAATAGCGAATAATTGCAGAATCAAAAAGAAAAGAGATTAACAGGCGATTGGAAAGATGAATAGGAGTTGAAGAAAGAGAGATACTTGGCTTCGCTGAATAGCAGAGGCGGATTCGGCAGCCATGGCGGACAAGGGGAGGAGAGAGAGAGTTGGGGAGGAAGAAGAGAATAATAATGCAGTGGAAGTGCAGCTTTCTGTCTGTTATAAGACCACTATCAGCAGTGAGGAAAAAAAAAACCTCTCAATCTCTCTCTACCCACTTTCTCACTCCTCCCATACAATTTCTCTCATCAAATGTTTTTTTCACTACATCAATGAGGAGAAAAAAAAACCTCTCATCACTTTTTCCTCCACTATTTACTATACCCCACCATAATACACATCATCTTTTTATTTTATCTTTATTTTGAAATAATGTTTATACTACATATTTAATTTTCCAATACAATTAAAATATGTGAAAATAATTTATTTTTTAATTACATTTAAAAATAATTTAATAAAAATGTATAATTTAATAACAATTTATAAGTTTTATATTTACTTTTCAATTACGTTTAAAAATAATATAATAAAAATTTATAATTTTTATATTTATTTTTCAATTACGTTTCAATTATAACTTAATAAGATTGTTATTTATTTGTCAATTACGTTTTAATTATAATTAATAATTTTTTTTATTTTTCAATTACGTTTTATTTATAATTTAACATTTGAATTAGTAGCACATTTTTGTAATGAACACATTAAATAGTCACATGGGAACTTCAATAACGGTAATACAAACACATGGGATGTTAAATAACGGTACAAGTACGAACTAGATAAAAGTGGTTCTACTAAAATAAAATACAAACACGAGTATTAAAACATAAATAACGATACGGTTACAAATAACAAACTAAAAAATTATTTATTCAACCGCATTATGACGAAAGTTCTGCCATATGTGCTCCACTAAATCTTGTTTCAGAGATGAATGAATTTCTCTATCACGAAGGGAAATCCTTCTCTCCAAATACGTGTTGAAATCAATGTTGGGTGGTCGCCCGACGTTGAATTCAAATGGCTCGTTGTTAAACACCGTGGCACTTGTGCTCGGGTCTGCCCGCCTCACCGTACGTTGTGGTCGATCTTCTTAGTAGTATCGTCTCAAAACATCTGCACGTGCGTAGTTGTGTCGTTCATCCTCGACGATCATGTTGTGCATTATTATACAGGCTTTCATAATATCACAGAGAATATCTTCGTCGTATGCAAGTGCTGGTTGTCGTAGTATAGCGAACCTAGCTTGTAAAACTCCGAAAGCCCGTTCGACGTCTTTCCGAACTGCTGCTTGTTGATCAGCAAACAACTTGTCTTTTCTAACATGAGGATGTGTTATACCCTGTATAAAAGTTGGCCATCTCGGGTAAATCCCATCGGCCAAGTAGTAGCCCAACTCATATTGATGTCCATTAACCGTAAAATTTATGGGTGGTGCATGACCTTGTAAAACATCATCAAATACCGGTGAACGGTAAAGGACATTCAAATCGTTACATGACCCAGGCATTCCAAAGAACGCATGCCAAATCCATAGATCCTGATCAGCAACAGCTTCAAGAATGAGAGTTGCACTCTTGCTACGACCAGCATATTGTGCCTTCCAAGCAGTAGGACAATTCTTCCACTCCCAATGCATGCAGTCTATACTACCAATCATCCCCGGAAAACCACGCAGATCATTTTGATGAAGGATTCTCCTTAAATCTTCATCTGTAGGTTTTCGTAGATATTCACTTTCAAATTGTGAAATAACCCCTTGACAGAAATGTTGCAATGCCTGCCTAGAGGTTGTTTGGCCGAGACGTAAATATTCATCCACAGCGTCTGCGGCTACGCCATACGCTAACATTCTTATTGCAGCGGTGCATTTCTGCAACGGTGATAAACCAAGCTTCCCAGCTGCATTTCGACGTTGCTGGAAGAATTGATCCCCCTCAACCACTTTGCTCATAATGCGGCAGAACAATGACCGTTGCATACGGAATCTACGTCGGAATTGGTTGTCGTTATACACTGGATTATTCGCGAAATAATAGTTGTATAGTTGCACATGCCCTTTTTCTCTTTCCCTATCCCTTTTGGGCTCCGTTGATAGTTCAGTTTCATTATTTAGTGGAGGTTCTTGTGGTTGGTCTGGAGGAAGTAATCTATGAGGTAGGTGATTTGCTACATACTCATCAACTAAGCAATCAAATTCATGATTTTTGGAGAAATCATCAGAAGAGGAGCTTGAGGTGGAAGAAATGAAAGACATTTTTATTTTGGTTAGGTAGTTGGTGTGTTTGGGATTGTTTCCGTTTATAATAACACAGGTATATATAGAAAATGTGAAAGTCATTATTGGATGGTAGTGGTAAGTTTGCATGTGAGTTAAAGTGGAATTGAAATTGCATGTGACTCGAGGTGACAATTCAATGCATTATTTTAGCATGTGATTGTGCAGTGTTATTGATGTTTGAGCAGAGGTGACAATTCAGTGCATTACTTTAGCATGTGATTGTGCAGTGTTATTGATGTTTGAGCAGAGGTGACATGTGACGCGTGTCAGATTGTATCTTTATCAGATATCAGCTTTATCAATTTCAAATTACTAAGAAAACATGTGAATTAACTGAATATTAATAATAAATTTAACATTACATAAACATAAATTTAACATAAACTAAATAAACACTAGTACATTAAATTAACTGAATAAAACATAAAGTTAACATTAACTAAATAAAACATAAGCCAAATCTCCAAGTCACACGTGCCTTTTACCATATAGCATTGCACGTAATTCCTCCTTGTAGGCCTCTTCATCGGGAGTTAGATCAGTACCCTTTGAAAGTAGATCTTGCAGCATTTCATAGTTCAGCCTTCTCTCTTGTATGTCAACTTGTTTTTGTTGAATTTCGACTTGTTTTTGTTTCCTCCTCTCCCTTTCCATGTCAAAATCCAACTTCTTCAACCGTATTTGTGCCTCTGTTTCCCTACAGGCATTATTCTGCTTCATTTGCTCACCAATGGTTGAAGAATCAGAAGCCACTTCTTTTCCCTTATTACGCTTGGCCTTTGCCTTTTTAACACCATCGGGTCGAGGAAGACCTCCAGAACAGAAACCCGTGGATGGTGTATCACCTTCCTCTACGGTTCTACATCGCTTATCACTGCCACTACTATCATCTTCGACGGCATCACCTACAGCTAATCTTTCCTCTCTTGACAACGCCCACCTAAGTTTTGTCCTCCACTTTGGGTCATTTTTAACCATTTCCCAACCATGGTGACAATTAAAATTATGTTGAGTAGGCTTGGAGGAAGCATAGAATAACTTACTGGCGTTATTAATTCGATCTGCTTCGTTGTAGCCACTTCCTGTAACCCTTCCTGCTTCGTCATAGCAGCTACTCCATTGTATTAAATCAGCTGCCATCCTTCTCCAACGACTTTCCAAACTCCTCAAAGGTCTTGGTGGTAGAATGTGAGGTTTCTCAGCCTGCGCTTCATCATATGCCGCTGAAATTTTTCTCCAAAGCACAGATGCTTTTTGGTTTGTACCAATAATTGCATCTTCACTGAATTGCAGATACAAACCAATAAGAGTTTCATCCTCCGCAACAGACCACATTCGACTCCCTTTTGTAAGTGGTTGGTTTTGATTGACAGACACTCTTGGAGGAGGTGGAGGGTATTGTGGAGTATCTGGAACACTTTCTTCCATTTCATCTTCATATTGAGAATTGCTCCCTTGATAAACAGGAGGTGAATGTGGTGGTGGAAATTGAGGAGGTGTTTGTTGTGGTGGAAATTGAGGAGGTGTTTGTTGCGGTGGATATTGAGTAGCTATTCGTTGAAGGAAGGTTTGAAATCGAGGGTTAGTGACAAAATCATCACCCAAATCAGAAAAATAATTAGAAAAATCTGGTTTGTTAGGATCCATTAGCAAAATAATAATAATAATAATAATAATAATAATAATAATAATAATAATAATAATAATAATAATAATAATAATAATAATAATAATAATAATAATAATAATAATAATAACAACAACAACAATAATAATACTACTACTTTTTTTTGACAATATAATAATACGATTTTTTTCAAGGATTAATAAATTTAACAGAAATAATAATAAAGAAATTATTATTAATAATAATAATAATAATAATAATAATAATAATAATAATAATAATAATAATTATAAGAATACCAATAAAACTACTACTTTTTTTAAATTAACACTACTACTACTACTACTAGTAATAATAATAATTATTATAATAATAATAAAAATAATAATAATAATAATACTAAATAATAACTGAGGTTTTTTTTTTACGAATAATAATAATAATAAAAATGATGAAAATAACTCAAAGAAATTGGGAAAAGAAGGAAATTTGTAGTATTTATAGGTTTTTTGAAAGTATATCAAAATATATCAAAATGCATGTCTATTTATAGAGAAAAAAAAAAATCTATCCGTTGGTGAATTTTGTTTTTTTTTTTTTTTTATAATTACAACAGTTATATTTACCTTACAAAAATATAACCGTTGTAATAAAAGCAAAAAAATCTGATTGGTTGGAAGGATAAAGCCTGACGCGTGTCGCATCCCCATTGGCTGGGTCTGACGCGCGTCAGGCCAGCTGCCCCCTTTTTTTTTTCCCTTTTTGCCCCTCAAAACGGCGTCGTTTCGCCCTTCTTTAAGGCAAAAAGACGTCGTTTTGCAAGCCAGAAGGGAAAAAAAAGGGAAAGACGCGTGTACGAGTGGGGCCCACTTGTTACTGTTCACGAGTATTTCCCCTCAACTCTTGTGCGTTTTCCATAGCTCTCAACGGTGAGGGTTTTTTCCCTCACTAACGTAATGCTCGGGTATTTTTTTTACACCCTTAGAGCACTCCCAGCAGTGAGGAGAAAAGCCCTCACGAGTAAAAATAAGGGTGTAAAAAAAATACCCGAGCATTACGTTAGTGAGGGAAAAAACCCTCACCGTTGAGAGCTACGGAAAACGCACAAGAGTTGAGGGGAAATACTCGTGAACAGTAACAAGTGGGCCCCACTCGTACACGCGTCTTTCCCTTTTTTTTCCCTTCTGGCTTGCAAAACAACGTCGTTTTGCCTTAAAGAAGGGCGAAACGACGCCGTTTTGAGGGGCAAAAAGAGAAAAAAAAAGAGGGGG